CCAGCTTGTTTAATCTCTTTATATTAAACTAATAATTCTATCTAATGTTTATTATGGGGAAGACGTCCCTAGGAATTTTTTTTACTCTGAAAAAAAATGTAATATATTGTGTTTCTAAAGAATAAGATTCAAAGGCCTGAGGTAAAAAAACACCTCATAAATGATTACTAGGAGCACACATAGAGCAGCCATAGTGCTGTGAGTTGGCCACACTTTTGGGGAAATGAAAAATTTAACAAGAAAATATGCTGAAGAAGAATACGGGAATATCTTGTGCCTCCTAAATTCTAAATAAAATAGGTAAACACCTTATTAAAAATCCAGTATATCTTTCAGGCAACTGAATTGCTTTCTGGAAACACATTAGTTCTAGGCTATGTAAGCAGCAGTTATTAGTGTTCATAGTCAGTTTTATCCAAGAGATGCGTCCTCCAGCGGGTCTATACCAATAAAACTCTGTCATAACTAGGTTTTACATTTTGCTTGTACAGGTTACACCTGCTTGAAGTGTCTCAGCCTTTGTTCCTAAAATGGTTATCAGAATACCATGTTTTTCACCTCTGTTTTTTTGAAGTATCATGATTAATTCCTCAGTGAAGCCTGGGTTGAACCTACCTCAGTCTAAATCATGGTTTAAACATTGGCATGTACTTAACGGAAAGCTATATTGTTATCTTGATTTAATTGTAGAAATGGAACAATGGAATAATGCATTCTATTCACTATTCTAAATAATTCAAGTGACTTTATTCAGATTCCTAAGAAGTGACTGTCAGCAGTGTGGGATTTGAAATAGCAAGTATTGCTTTATACTTAACAAAACATGGATAACTGACAGCCCCTTCAAATGGGGAATGGTTCATTTTGTGATGCAAAACAGATAGCTTGAGTGGGAATAATATTGTGTATCTATATGCAGGATTAAATCCCAGGCAGAAAGCACAGGCAGATGAAAAAATCATATTGCTAGTCTCCTTTTTTCCTGCAGTAAAACTGAATATTTCACAGCCCTCAGGAGAGTAAAGCAAGTGGCTGGTTAATGCATTGGCTGTGTTTGACGTACCTTATAACTATTTCTGAACTTTCAGCTCCCTTTTTTAACTATGAGCAGACTGCTGCTGTGATTGAATAGCTTGCTCCAGTAAGAATCTTGTGATAGGAGATTTACATGTTAGAGAACAGTGTATTTTCAACATAGGTAAGCAATATTTCTGACATCATTGACAACCAAAGTGCTCAAGAGATAGGCAGTCTTCTTCAGCAAAGACTGCCTTCATCCCTTTCATCATTCTAGGATTCTCTGGTAGCCAAAGCAATCAGATGATGCTTAGGAACCTATTGGTCCAGCTCTTTGCAATTGCACTGTGTCACAATGGTGAGTCCTTCAGTATCTGTCTCTTGCAAACCTGCCAGCATATCAGTGCATGGAACTTCAGGAAAACATTTCTGGGGATGCTCCATGTGCTTGGCCCTTTTCCCCTCTGGGGATGGCGCTGCCTGGGCTCGCTGCGGGAGATCAGCCCCGGTGATGCACAGGGCTCGGTGACAGCCGGGGCAGGAGGCACACGCAGAGGGCAGGTGGGTGTGCTAACAGCATTTTGCCCATCTGGGCTGCCATGTTCATTACCCAACTGATCCAGCAACCACTTAACTAATGAACCCTCTTAAAAGGTTGAGTGAACTCCCATTGACATTACATACAAAATGCTTTGAAAAACATTTCAGGGCCCCAATGAGTTGAAAAGCAATTGATGCATTTAGAAAGTTACACTGAAGGGGAATATAATATTTTTATATTCTTACAGTGAAAACTTATGCTTAAAGAGATGTTTAAACCTGAAAAAGGCAGGAGGAGAGCAAGTGGCAGCTTTGGGTGTCTGGGCACAGCTCCGCTTGGTAGGAGCTCTTTTGCTGGCAGGTGAAGGGGCTGCTGCCTCAAGCTGTCCCAGAGGGGCTCCTGGTTCACTGTGGTTGGTCACAGTCAGGTTTGCTTGGTTTAAAGTGTAATTGTTCAAAGCTACAGTCCAATACGAACCCTTCAATCAATTGTTTTATTAGATTGCAAAAACCCAAAGTTCATAGAACCACAGAATAATTTATTATGGAAGGGTCTCTGGAGGTCACCTGATTCATTTTCCAGTCAGATTCTGAATATCTCCAAAGATGGATATTTCACAGTGCCTCAGGTCTTTTCCACTGCTTATCTTATTGTGAAAATTTTATTTAAACCATAGCTGCATAACCACAGAAGTGCAACATTCCCATATTTACCCATTGTGGTGCCCTTCTCTGTCAGGCAGGGCAGGAAAGCTAATACGGAGTAAAAAAGGAGCCTTGAAATGTGACTTTGACCTGGACTCAGGAGGATCTTAGATCTTATATCAGTACAGATTATTTCTTATTTCATATAGTTCCCCAATAAGCTTTTGAATTTTCCTGTTTAGACCTCTGAAATTGAATCTCTAATAGCTGCATTAAGATTCCTAAACACTCCATGAAAAAAAAATCAAAATCCACTCTTCATTGGAAGGTAAAAAATAAAGAATATTTTTGGGGAGGTCATACCTCTTAGAAAAAAATATACAAAAATTCTTCAAGGCTCTTGCTTGTGGGTGACTTTTTGTCTGTTTTGGCAGGTGGTCTTAACTTAGTTTTCTATTTTTCTCTCTAGTCCCTAAGGAAAGCTCACTGTGATTCTGGACATTCTGTTCTTAATAGGTAGTGTAAAAAATCCTGATGAAAATGTAGAGTAAAACCTGTGTAATCACTCATACAAAGGACACTTTTGTGAACTGCATTTCTGTGAGGACACAAAATTCAAAGGGGAGCTTGAACGGGCTTTTTATGTCCAGAGGAGGAAAAATGTGCTTCTTGCAAATATTCAATCCTGTCCTCTCAATGAGCTGCTCCCCAACACTTTCATGTTCAAGGGTTCTTGCTTTTTCCCCTGTCCATATTGTCTGGTCTGCCTCCTGTCCCTACCTGACTGTTATTTGGGCAGCAGCAAGGAGAAGTCCCAGGTTGTGCGTGCGTGCCCCTGATGAAGCGCCATGTTGAAATGCCGGCATTTGTGCCGCAGGTTTACGATCCCTGCATCGATCGGTGTCTCCATTTAAATGATTCATCTTTGCTCTTGGCTTGCTGTGAGCTTTTCCATGAGCTGCAAGGAAAACTCATTTTATATATGTGTTTTTTAGCAAGTCACTCAGCTTGTTACTCATGTTATCTGAAGGAAACGGGATAAGAACTGGGAAGTAGCACGGTGGGTAGCAGGGTATGTGCAGGACCTGGGGCTGTCCCAAAGGATTGCATGGTGGGGGTGGCTGGAGACCTCACTCCCTCTGCCCTGTGGCACCAAAGCCACACCTGGCTCTGAGATCTGGGAGCAGGCTGCTGAGAACTGCTCTGTTGCGAAGGATCGGTTGCTGTGGGTTTTAGAAAGCATAGAGTTTGGAGTATTTAGAAGTCTGCCATTGAATCAAATCCCCAGGGAACAATCCATTTTTGGTATATCAAAATAAGTATATTTTGCTTATGTAATCAATCCTAGGGTGATAAATACTTTGTCATCTATTCCAGGCAATTTACTTCATTGATTGACATCAAATAGATATTGTATGGTCAATATAATTTTCATACCTCACCTTTAGCTGCAGTTTCATCTACTTTTTTTAATTTATTAAAAACTCTGTTTCAGTTTTCCTTTTTATTTGAACTCAGAAGTCTCATTTTGTTTTCCTCTCCTGATTAAAAAGTATGTTGTCGAGACTAACCTGGAGTTACGTAAATCAATAATGCTACACAGAAAACGAGAACAAATTGTACCTCTTATTTGCATAATGGACAAGATCTAAAATGAATTCCTCAGGTTAATGAGTGTCCTCAGGGTTGTTTGTTAGAATGTACAGCCTTCTGTGACACCAGTGTGTTACTGATTGAAAAGTACTGCTCAGAGTCAAAAGAAGTGAAAAAAAAATCAGGAGCAATCAGGTTGGGGGACTCCATACTAAGCTTTTAGCTTTAGTGCATTGATTTTTGGATGCCTGCATTGAGCTTCACTATAAGCTGAGGATACAAATTCAGATTTACCCTTGCTTTGAGGTTCAAACTCAGCCTAATCTCACCTGGAGTTTTGGCTAAAATGCAGCTGAGTCCCCAGGTTTCTGTCACACTGACATAAGGTTATCTTTGTCTTTCTCAGAAAGAGAACAGAGCTCCCCAGAGGGAAGGGAACATGGATACCCTGTGCAGGGTTATGCAGCTTGGTTAATTCAGAAAGTCTGAATCTTAGATGAGACCATCACAGGGCCAAAAATTGCTAGAAGCAGGCAGTTACAACAGCATTAAAATGTCTCATATTTCCTATTCTGTTTCTGCTCCATTACCTTTATCCTCTTGTTCCAGACAGTTAGCCACCTCTTGCTCCTATTAGCTTACTGTGAAATGGTAACATGGCTGGAGGAGCACAGGATAGTGCCACAGGTGGCCGTTCCTGCATGGAGAGGAGAAAGGATAGGAGGAACTTTGCTTTGGCTGGAGTGCTCTGCAAATGGAATTGCTTTTGGAAGCTTGTAGTGTGACTGCAGTTGGATATGCATTTATATAGGTGGCAAAAGGGGGTTCAAGGCAGAAGGGAGGGCCTATTACTTCCCCACCCAGTGTAACATTTTCTATTCCAAACAGGGGGAAGCTGGTCCTTCTCAAAGTTCAATTGAGGATAAACAAAACATGTGTTTTGTTCTTAAGCCTTACTGATAATGAACCATTAGTAACTGAATTTGACCTTAACTATGCACCATAGAAAGGTCATTAACTACTGAAGAAGGGCTTCTACAAAAAATTAAATTACACATTAGTACATTTCATGTAATGTGAGAGAATTTACTCTGTAGATCAACCCCTGCACAATGACTCTTGCTTTTTTCCTGTTTAATGTGTACCTTGAATATTGCACTATAAGAGATGATCTCCTTTGGAGGATTGCTCTGAAGAAGGGAAAGGTCAATGGTCAAGTGAAGAAGATGTTTTCCAATTTACGGCGACTTGTAGAGATTGAGGCCACTCTTTCTTCTTTGTCCTTCAGGACTTGGTTGGAAAGGCATCTGTTTGCAGTAGGACTGCTGCAGCCTGGTCCCTGTCACTGGTGCCCTGAGAGCACCTCTCACCCATGCAGCAAGTCTCTGGGAGTTCAGACAGGCTTTTTCATCTGCTGAAACATTTCCTTGTTGGGAAATGGGACTTGCTATATTGGGTCAGCAGGTGTATCGTGCTGGTTTATGAGGTCTACTCAGTTTTTCTATATAGGCAGAATGTTAAGTAAACATTTTTTCATATGTAAAGAATATTTGTTTATTTAATTTACTGTACACACACAGAGACTTACATCTTTAGGTTTCTTTTGTGATTTTTATATGGCCTTTTTTGCTATGTAGCACCCTTCTTCCAACTCTGCTGCATCTTGGCTATGATCTATAAAGCTAAGAATTATGTAAAAATTCCCAAGGATTTGTAGACTTCTGAAAACTGAATCTTACCATAGAAACTTAGTGAATTAAATTGCCCCAATGCTTGTGGTTTTGAGAGTTTTTAAGCCTTCTACATAGGGAAAAAAGAAGATGACATTAAGTAAGTAGAAATTGTGCAAGCTGAACCCAGCAGAGCTGCTGTGCTTTACCTATCATTCTTCAAAAGGTTTTTGATCTTTAGATAAAACATTTGTTAATACTTTCAAGATTTCAACAAACCATCTTGAAAGATTTTCTCTTTTTCTACAGTAAAACTTAATAATATGTAATAATTTTACTTAAGTTTTAAACTTCTTTCAATATCTGGAACTATTCACCCTAGGCATTCAATCACAACAGTGTAACACAGAAATCCTGAATCAGGAAGTAAGAGGATGAAATAAGGCTGGGGTAAATGAGTTGAAGGTTTAGAATAATTTCAGATTGATTTAACTCTCTGGTTCTCTGCTAGAAACATGAAAAAGATAATCTTTTTATGTCATTGATAGGCAAATTTTGGGAAATGCTGAATGCAGAGCACAGAAAATAATTAGAAAAAGAATTAAAAGATGAAAATATTCTTTCAGATATAAAATCATGTTATTGAATAAACTGAGGTTCTGGAAGCCTTATTCTCTTGCTTTTTTAATCACTCTGCAGGAAATGGAGCAAAGCAAAGCAAACAGAAAAGAGTGGCAGGGTGTTAATTGTAACCTGATAATTAAAGTGAAGCATAGTCAGGGAACAGATATCCTCCCAGCTTTCAGCATGAAAATGATGGTGGGCAGCATCTCTGGACACTCAGCGCTGTTTTGATAACCCTGGGAAGCTGCTGCAGGGAGAGCCTCAGTGACACACAAGTCCGTGTCTGAGAACACACATTGCCAGGTGGGGAGTTTCATAAAACAAATAATTGATCGTCTTTTTTTTTTTTCCATCTTTGCCTTGGTGTCTGGGCTGTTGATGGATAGGAAATGGAAAGGATGAGCTCCCTTGGTGATAAAAAGCATGGGAGAGCAGGCAGCGGTTGCAGGGTAATGGCAACAGTGCCTTGTGTCAGTCACAGATGAGTACTGAGAGATTAAATAGATTAAATGAAAATAAATGTAAGCTAATTGAATTCAGTGATATAGGAGAAGAAATCAGAGGAGTATAAAATTAGGCTTAAGATGGGCATTATTATTTTACTTTTGCTTTACCCAGCTCTCTTTTTTGGCTTTCCAGAGTCAGGAGCTTTTTGAGTCAGAAGTGAAAACAAAACAAGAATACCCTCTGAAACAAAATGAACTATTTACTTGTTCTACAGATTTTAGGTTTTTTTCTTACAGCAAAACAATTCTGTAGAAGATTTGCATTGTTTTAAAAAGATTAAATATCTTAAATTGAAGTTGCTTGGATTTTCTCAATGTTTTTAGTTAAGATGACCTAAAATTTGAGTGTCTATGTGGCTCTTAAAAGTCTCACTTTTAAAGTTAAAATGTTCAGAAGTGTGATGAACTGTGAAAACACAATTGTGATTCATTTTCTAGATTTTGATTTGGTCACAGAGGTTGTGGTTAAACTCCCCTTCTCCTGACGTGACCTCTCTCACTGCAAGCATGTGTGTTTTTATGGAAGAAGATAAATTTGTGTACTCATGAGTTTGTATCCAGTCAGCAAGATGGACCACTAAACTTAGGAACAGTTCAGAAAATAAAACAGGCATGTAAGTCTGAAGTGCATAATGGGGAGAAGGAAAGTTTTAAAATAATCAGAGCAAACTGAAAGAAACTGTAAGTATGTGTTGTGTTTTTCTGGGCCTTGTATTTGAGAGAAGAACAGTGAACTTGAAGCAGAGGGCGAAGGGTTTGATTTGAATATGAATGTCTGGCAGGGTCTTAGCAGCATGAAAGGGATAATTTTAGCAGCAGTTTTTGAATAGAATCGTTGGGTACAAGCTGAGATAAAAGTAGGATACACAGGCCATAGCTAAGATAAAGGATGAGGTAAGGAAAAACCACAAAAGGTAGAATTCACCTGTGTGCAAAAAAGTCTTGCAGAAACATGTATCACTTTCACTCATACCTGCATCCTGGTTTGTAAATTGTATTGGATTACCAAGGGTTTGGTTGGCAAACAGAATTTCCCTCAGGCTGGCTGGCAGGCTATATTTCATGGTATCCATTTACAGGCATAGTACCTGAGGGGGTTTGGTGAGCATCTGAAACAGGAAAGGTTTTTGGGGTTGAAGTTCAGTTGAGACCTCTCACCAGATGAAGGAATTTGTAGTAAAGATGAACTTTACTATGTGAAGTCAGAGGTTATGGCAGTGTACCCAAGAGAAGGGGAAAACATAACCAACATTGTCTAGATTCAATGACAGGCTTAAAAGATTTTTGACACCTGAAAGCTTGTGCTGTAGAAATAAAATATTGAAAGAAATGCAATGATTAGTGAGCAAACCAAAATATTGTGAGCAGTAACAATATGAAGTATCTAGCACTTTTTCCTCTTTTCTAACAAATGCTTTTTCAATTCCTCCGTGATGAATTTTTTTCAGAGGAAAATACCATACAATTAAAGTTTAGTAGGCATAGATGAACATTGAAAAAGGCATGCACTGTAAAAGACTTCAGTAATGTTTACAGCCAATCCATTTGGCAGTTAAAATACTTTTCTCTACTGCTTCAAAATTTTCTGTCAGAGGCACTTCACTTTTCTTGGTACATATAAATGTTTATTATCTTTGATTTGAAAACAAACAAACAAAAGCCTTTTTCTTATTCACATTCAGGTCTTACTCTCATTGAAGGATATTTAAAAATCTGGCATTGGCTTTAGCAGAAGAAGGAATGAGCTCTTTTTGACTTCAGTTGGAGCACTTGCAAGTTTAATAGTTGATATAGCTATTTCCAGGATCTAAGGTCTTCCATTGCTTTACAGATAATGGAATCCATAAAATCCTGCCATATGTCATAGAATGATTTTCATATTATTAATGAAGTAACCATGGTTAATTTTTTTGACTGATGAGACTCAAGTATTAAACTGATCAAAAATGAGAGAGGCTAAATTAATTTATACTGTAATGAAGTGAAATTAACATTTATGATTTAGGACTGTATGCTGTGTATTTGAGAACACTCCCTATAAATATCAGTGACCATAAAGGGTTCTTTTTCTCACCTCTTCATTATTCTGGCCAATGTTGCTTATTTTTTTATAAAGCTCTTAGAAATGGAATATATTGAGTGTTCCTCTACCTTGTAATATTGGTTTATTGTCTGTGATGCCATGCATTTATCACATGTTTATGATCTCATAAAATGGTTTAGGTTGGAAGGGACCATGAAGATCATCTGGTTTCAGTCCCCCCTTCCACTAGACCAGGTTGTTCAGACCGATATCCAACCTGGCCTTGAACACTGCCAGGGATAGGGCAGCCACAGCTTCTGTGGGCAACCTGTTCTGATGCCTCAACACCCTCACAATAAAGAATTTCTTCCTAACACCTACTGTAAATCTGCCCTCTTTCAGCTTAAAGTCATTCTTCCTAGCACTGCACACCCCTGTGAAAGGTCCCTCTTATAGGCCCCCCTTTAGATACTCAAAGGGTCTCTAAGGTCTCTCCGGAGCCATTTCTTCTCCAGGCTGAACAGCCCCAGCTCTCTCAGCCTGTTTTTGTAGGAGAGATGCTCCAGCCCTTTGATCATCCCCGTGACCTTCTCTGGACTTGCTTCGACAGGTCCATGTTCTTCCCTACACTGGGGACCCCAGAGCTGGACACAGCACTGCAGGCTGGGTCTCACCAGAGCAGAGGGGCAGAGTCCCCTCCCTGCCCTGCTGCCTGCACTGCTGTGGATGCAGCCCAGGGTGCACTTGGCTTTCTGGGCTGCAAGCTCACATAGCTGGGTCAGGCTCAGCATCTCAGCCCCCAGGTTGTCCTCCCCAGAGAGAAATGTGAAATGTCCACTAATTCAAAAACATTGTGGCAACAGATTGCATTCTTCAAGTTAAATATGCTTTCAGTGTAAAGTAAAATAGATGGGAAGATCATTTAGAGTCAGTATTATTAGAATGTACCGCCAACGAATACACTTGAAACTCAGTAGAATAGTGTTACATTTTTACCCACTAAAAATAATGAGATCTGCTATGAAATTTCTGGCTCAAATTAAATTTCAGTAAATAACCAGGGAACATAAAATGAGTCTAGCTTGCAACTTTCCTCCCCCATTGTTTTTCAAACAGCACAAATTAATTTTTCATTCAGAATTTTGGTAAATTTTAGGATCAGGAATTTGGAGAGCTTTCACTGATCAACAAATATGTGAGCTATTTCAAAACCTGAAAATGTGTTTGTAAGTTCTGTAAATAGGAACAATTGAATGCTGAGCTCCAAGAAAAATCTGGCCAGGATCTTATGTGCCAAGTGTTCAAGAATCTTTTCCTTAAAGTGTAAAAATATAGCCTTATCAAAGCCAAAAAAATTGAAAATTATTGAGAATATTCTCCCCTCCCCCTTCATGTTTTTGTCATCTTCCAGTCTGAGGCATCCAAAACCACAAGCAAAGCAAATCACCATTTCTTGAAGTGTTTTTACATGTCATGTTGTGATGAGGGTACTGTCATGTCCCCACATCAACTAGCAGTGGAACTTCCAAAATCTTACCTCATCTCAAATGGCTATTAAAATATATTAAAAATTATAAACTTAATATCAAAAATTTGGAGAAGCAGAGCTATCATATACAGATGCAGGTTAGAGATTTCTTTATCCTTGAGGTGGCTACTAATTCCTGGTTTGCACTAGGAAGCAATTTTCTTATTCTATTTCTATTATTCTCATTAGAAATCATTTAGCTTGACAAAATGTATTTATTCTCATTCTTTAGTATGATCCTTCAGAAAAAGAAAATATGAATGCTTTTTCATTATATTTTCATTAGGAAGTATATTATGACTTTTATGCTGTGCATCAGATATTAGTGGAGGAGAGATGGAACTGAGGTGATGTTTGCTATATGTCAGTAGAAGAAGTTTTGATTTCACTGATAAAGGAACTGTAGTGTCAGCTAAATGGGCTTAAAGCAGGTTGGTTCAGGTCAAATGCACTGTAACTATCAGCAGTCTGAATCCCAAAGAAAGAGGAAAATAAAGCCTTAAAGCATCAGTAGCCTGTGGCTGAAGCACCTTTTCTCCAGTTTTAGTCTGTAACCGTAAGCACATAAATAGGAAACTGATGGATACAGAGGCTTCCCTGAACTTTCTTATGGAATAGTGCAGGCTGAAGAGAAGATTCCTCAAGTAGAAGATAGTTCAAGTAGAACATGGCTCAATTTTCTAGAAGTTTTGCTGATTGAACCCTTGTTATTAGTAATACATGAATGAAACCTGAGAGTTAGTTTAATTTGGGGTTTTTCTAGTTTTACATAATTACAGATAAGGAACAAACTGAATCCACGGTCCAGCTTGTCCTTTAAACCTTTATTGCTAGGTTCAATAGACAGCTTTCCGTATACAGGAATTTTTGACTCTTGGAGAAAATCTTGAAATTTCCTTGAAGAGTGTCTCTGATTCTGATAATAGAACAAAACTCCTCTCATCTCTAAGGTTAAACAAGGATAGCTGAAAATATCTGCAAGGGTGTTAATTGTCCTCTGAGGATCTACAGGGAGAAAGACTGGAAAAGAGTATTGAAGAATGGGAAGAATTAAGTTCTGGAGTTGAACATATATTAAATATACTTTTATTTTATTTCTTAAAACTTTTGGATTATCAGTTTAATGTTTTGGAGCTACAGTATAGCCACTTGTAGATTTTTTTGGAATAGAAGTGATAAGGATGAAACAATAAAGACATAGAATCAGGGATCTTTTAGGCAGAGTAAAGAGATGGAATTAGAGCCACTCACTTTCCTGATTTGTTCCTATTGTTCTTCCTTTTAGAAAGTGCTTGTATGCAGACATCAGGACAGTAAGCCTCATATAAGTTAGATCTGGTTACAGTTCCTTATACTTGGCTTCAGTCTGTCAAGTGTCTTTGACAGCTTTTAGAAACTTTAAATAATTGTGAAGGAAACTTGAGCCATCAACCATCAGTATGAAACAACAATGCTTCATTTTTGCTGCATGTTTGTCTATAGGTTTTGGAGCCATGTTTTATGTGTGCTTTGTTTGATTTGTGGAGATATTCAGCTGACTAAGGAAAATCCATATCACAACTTAGTAAAAAGTTTTCCTATTACACTTTGTTTTGCAATTAGCTTTCACAGATTTTTGTTGCAGGAAGCTCATTCATACAGCCTAGTTTAGGTTTCAAATGCTTGCCATGTTTAGACAGCAAGGTTTAAGTTATTACAGAGATGGGCAGTAGTATAAATCTTCTGGCAGTGATCTGCTCTGGCATATTCTGTATATACTATATATATTTGCATTGTAATAACTCCTTTATTAATATCGGGGGAAATGAAAATTAAATCAGCATGAAATCTGCTTAAAAAAAAGAGTAAGATTACTTCCTTCAAGGGTCTTTCATCACTATTTTAACAGCTAGAAATAGTATGCAAGATGTGGATAGTATGTGTGGGAACAAAGGATATTTCATCCCTTACTGAGATCTTCTCAGCTTTGGTAACTCCAAAACTGAACAGGAGCTTTGTAGCTGCATTGTTTGATGATATTTCCATAACATTTGTGGCTGTCCAACTTTGTTGTGAAATAAAAGTCAGGAAATCTGACTGAATGCATTGTTAACTTTCAAGAGCCTACATTTTACTTCTGCAAAAGCCCTGTGACATTTCAATCTGTAAACGTCCTTGTCCTTAAACTGGGGCAGAAAGAGAGGGACAGGAAAGGAGCCTAAAGTATCACTGTAATTTAAAGGTTTTCCTGGAGAAGATGAGTGAGGTACTGTTTGGTCTACCAGAAGCTGAAATCAAACAAATGACTGTTTTAACATGTTGGGCATGATTTCATTCCATCATCATCAGTCAGATGGAAAACATGCTGACAAGCTTTGAGTGACCGGTGACAGGATCCAAGGGCACTGTGGTCACAGCATGGTTAGCTGGCACAGCAAGGCCACCTTAGATAACTAGTCATGCTATTAGAGTAGTGCATTAATTTGTGAAGAATTAACATTAGTATTAATTATGAGATTTTAAATTATTTTTTTTTTAATGTCTGGCTTTTCTAGAATGCTTGTTTTAGTATTGTATATTACATTTGCTCTTTTTATTACTGTATTTTAGAGTCACATTCTGTTATGTAACTACAGATGGGTGGAACTATAGGCAGAGTTATCTGGCTTTTAATGCATAAGGAAAAGACTATCAGAAAATTTACTGAATTTATGATGTGTTTCTCAACAATTAAATATTGAAGTAAAAAAGGAAACCATATGTTAAAAATTATTGTAATTTTTGTACTTGTACATTTTTATGAAGAAGATGATTTGTTTCCTGATGATATTTCAGAGATTCTTGTAATTATTTTGTGGTCTTTTCCAGCTGCCCTAATACCAAGCTCCTTTGCACTTTCCTCATTCCATAGGTGCTCTAGGGAATACTCTGTTTCACAGCAAGCATGTGCCTCCGCGGCTGTACTGTGGAAAGAAGCATGCATTATGATTTCTTTTGTAAAGTCCATGCATTTGATCGTGTAATGAGGTCAAGATGTCCCTCATGATACTTTCATAGCGTGATGCCAATGACCTGATATGCCCTAGAAGAGAGAAAGGGGTAGTTAACTATTTATTAGCTCTCTCTATAAATGCAGCAACAGATTACAAGCAGTCACCACATTGTTAAAGCAGTCTCAGCTGATCATTCAAGTCTTTTATTTGTGCATAAAAGTAAGACTGGAACATTTGTATTTATCCTTTCCTAGACATCCTCTTCAGGTCTCTCTCTCTTCTGGGAGACAGAAGCAGCATGGGTTTTGGCCCTTGGCTTAGACCTGTGATATTTCTGGCCAGTTTATCTCACCTTTTCTTATGATGCTGTTTAAAAGCTCGTTCAACTATTTTTGCTACTGCTGTTTGTTTGCTTAACTGATCCTTTAATCCTATTCATAGCTTCTGTTAGAGGGTGAGGTCCTCATAATCCTTTTAGGCAAACTTGTTTTCATTTTGTTGTCTTGGCTGGTGTCCATTCAAGGGTGGTTACTAGCCATAAATATATGACAATTTTTAAGATAAGTACGGGGGCAATAATTGGAGAACTTTTGACTTTGAATTTTACTTTTCTGGTAGCAAATATGAGCTCAACAAATCGTGCTGCATGGCTTTGTTATTGTACCCAGTCCCATAATCACATGCTTATGTCTCCAGTTAAAGGAGGGTAACATAAACCTTCTCATGGGGGCTTGGAAATCTCTTTGCAGACAGAAAGCAAAGTATTAGAGGATTTTACAAGAGGCCATGTTTACATATCACATTGCTACTTTGCTGGCAGTAGATCCAAATTAGATAAAGGTTCCTAGCATTTTAGAAAATATAATATTTTCTCTAAGAGTGGTTGAATTAAGAATCTGAAGCTTTGCCTCCCTGCCTGACAAGCTGGAGGCCCTGAGCAGTGTCATTTTCTGCTAAGAGGAAGGAAGTGGAGTTGACAGGAGCTCTCCTGACAGAGAGCTGCTGACCACCAGGACATGGGCTGTTGGTCTCTCTAAATGCAGTATTTCTTTTCCCGGGGATGCATTGTGAATTTCAAGCTTTGCTCTTTTTCCTGTTTCTAGCATGCAGGCTGTTGGCAGTGTTATACTTATTGCAATTTTGTTGTCTTGGCAAAGAATTCAAGTGTTTGCATGCCTCAGTGGACCAGTGATAGACTAATAATATGTAGCAACAGTAAATATTTTTTTTTTTTCTGCACTGAAATCATGTTCCATAGGTGCCATGCTGGAAAATGAGATCAGTGTTTGATCCAGTTTGATCCACTCTGGTAGCTCAGTTGTGGATATGCTGCTCTCAAGGGAGAGAGCTCCTGAGTACAGTGGACAGAGCCCAGGGACACCCTGGCAGTTTTAGCATCACAATTTTCTCAGTGGAGTTTATCTTTTGCCTGGAGAAATATCTTGAGCCATGACTGTGATTGTGGATTGCTCAGGCTTTGAATGCCTGTGTGTGCCCCAAATTACGGAGAGCTCACCTTCAGATGATCTGATAAAATGGTGTTGCAATATTGCTGCATGAGATGCACACTTCTGAACTACTGATGGTCGGCATCAGCACAGAAATATGAGGTCCCTCAGTATGGCCTGCAATCAATTTCAGTTTTCTGGGTAGCATTAGAAAAGGAAAAGCCCCAGAGAAGCCAGGAAAAATCTATCTTGTGTCAAATGCTATACACGTGCAGAAACTCTTCGTACACCTCTGGAATGGTGCATTTCTTGTGTGTGAAGCTTCTCTTCCTAGAGCAAACAGCTGGTTAATGGAGACATGTGTTTCTCCAACTGAACTTCAATGCCAGTTAAAACTAGTATTTTTTTAATTAAGAATAAAACTGCTACTTTTTCTAGACAATTTTTTGTGGCATCAGAAGAATTGATGAAAGATAGTAAATGTGTAAAACTGGCAAGTTATGAAAATTAAATAATGAAACATGCTTTTCAAAAGCTATGAAGGATTACAGTTTGAAAACTATTTATTATACTTGATTTTTAACCTATTTTTTTAATAATATATCTCAATGTTTTTTATGGTGGTCTCCCTTTTAAAAATAATTTGAAAACCTGGTGAATTTTGCCATAGCTATGTAAAAATATTCCTCTTTAGAACATGAAAGTCTTAAATGATTCATTATGGTCAGATAATAATTTTTAAAAATTTATTTAATGTAATGCTTTATGAGATTTTTAGTTTAAGAACTAAGGGCAATTTGACCAAAAAGGCCCCCCAAAATCTTGAAGGATCTAGGTGTATTACTCCTGGCAAAGAATAGAGGCTAAACCACTGATACACTACAAATGATTTCACACCAAAGTCTGCCCTAATTGTCCAAAACCACAAATTAATTCCCTTATCCAGACTGAGATCCCTGGGCACCAAAAAAACATTGAATCAAGGAACTGAGGCTGAATTTTTCAAAAATGAGTAAAAGCTCCTATTTTTTCACTTCTGTCTCGTACATCAAAGGGATCCATTGAGCTGTGGTATTGTGAAACTAACTAAAAATGTACCCCAATGAAACTTCATTTTTGGGAAGAGGAGACCTAAAAGTCTGTGGGATTTGATCTCTGTGATCCTCAGGTAATGCTGAGGGGGATCAGGTACAATGGTATGAATTTGTTGTTAACCCCCTAAGTCTGTGTAAATATTAATTTAACTAGATTAAAGGTATGATTGACTTTATCAGCAGGCAAAACCAGATCCAAATATAATAGGCTAGCCCTATTTTCTACCTGCTGCAGATCTGGCATTGCAGGTGATACATGGATTGAAGACAGGATTGAGTTCTGTTCATCTATCAGGCTTAGTCCTCAGCCTTAAAATGTGTACAGCATGGTAATATTGCATGGCATTTGACCCCTCCACTGGGATCCTGCTGAGGGTGTGGCAAGGTGAGTATCCCACAGCGTTACTCAGGAATAACACACTGTCCTGCTTGCTTTGGGTTATGTTTTTCCATGTTTGTGTTTCAAGTCATGAAGATAATTGGAAAACTACAGCTGCACAGGATGGAGCTTGCTGTGTAAGCAGAGGTCTAAACACTGTCTACAGAGACACCTAGATACCAGGGTGTGCGTAAGCAAAACTGCTTAATTATGGACACAATAACAAACACATCTGCAGGGAAACAAAGAATTCACTGCGAGGAAGTGTCACTGGGATATAATCTACATACATTAATTGCTAGGCAATATTTTCACATTATGCAAATAGCTATACAAAATATAAACACGCTATAGCCTTTTAACGAGGAGCTAAAGGCCTAAGACACCTCATAAAAGATTCTGACAAACACCATTTAAAAGCAATTTGCCTCTATGCTATAATTTTTAAGATACTTTGTATTATTAGGAAAATTTCAAAGGAACTGCAGTCTTTGTTCTTGGATGTCTACTTTTCAGGAGCATGCATGTAGTTTTCTGCATGGCCAATCCAAAATGCATGAGAGCTGTGATTATTCAGATAAGCTGATACATATACTGAGTTTCAAAACTTTGAGTGATGAACTATTTGATTTTTCTGTATTTACCTTTTCTTTTCAGTATTCTCCTCTGATAAACTAACCTTCACTACACTTGTGTTATATCCCAGCCACAGACATATTATGTTCTAGCAGACACAGCTCTTCTGGCACTAGGCAGCATTTTCACCAGTTTAAGCTTCTGGATGCCTCTCAAATCTCACTTGAACAACATATGGAAATCATACTACAACTAGTTATATTTTTTGGATATGATTTTGTAAAGAAAATGTGTTCTGTTTGAAACTTGGGGTGAGGGGAGATAAGGAAAAGAGAATATAATAAAAAAGACACTTCTAACTTCTAAGCTTCCCTATTCTAATTCAGCAACTACTTTTTTTACATGCAGCAAATCCTTTTATTGGTTATTTCTTGTTCTTTAATGACTTCACTACAGGGTTGCATGGGTCGATAGGAATGCCTTCTCCAAAATCCATTAACATGGTTCTTGACTGAATGCAGTCCAGGCATGTTAATCACCATTATTCTTCAAGAATGTCAGACCTCTCGAGTTTTCTATATGTGAATTTCATGTCTGAGAATCGATATGTGCCTTATTTATACACAGGACTGAGTACCTTGCTGGAAATCATGGTACAATATTAGTTTAAAAATCTGCTATAGCAAATATGATCAAGATAAAGAAATTTCTTTAATGTTGGGAAAGAATTATATACTGAAATTAAAATTATAGTATCATCTCTGCATTGCTTAACTAGGTGATAGTAAAATTCAAAGAAATTTGAATTATATGTCTCTTCTTTTACTCCAACACATGCATATTAAAGAGAAACTTTTTTTGATGTGATTGCATCAGGAGAAAAGATATAGCATGATTGATGCCAGTGGGGTTTGACAAATAGCAACTCTACAGAAATTATACAAAAATTTCCTTCCATATTTCCTCTCAACTGTTCTGCCACTTTGATGAAATGGTAATCTCTCTAATCCATTTCTCCAGCTAGAAGAGCTGTTTCAGAAACATACCCTTCCCTGCAGTTATTACCATGATGGAACATTTATTATCCAGCAAATGAGGCATCACACTCTCTGATAATTCTCCTAAAAAATCTTAGGGATAACTGCCTTCTATTCTGCATATCAAAGATCAATTAAAATGTGAAAAAAAGCATTGTATATTCTGCACAAGGCACAATACAGACTGTTTCACTGATCAATATCCAGTGCAGAAATATGTTAAATTTCTGCCTTGTGCTGAGGGATGGTTGGGCACCCCACTCACACCCTACACCCGCAAGGCTGTGGAATGTGCAGTTTTGAATTATTGTTTTCACGTACAATTTTTCAATTTTTCCTTGAAAAATATGTCTGTACTGCACTAAATGATTGTGGCTTTTGGCCCTGTGTTTTCCTGGGCTGTTAGGGAAGAGTGAGAAACACAACTGTAAAAAAAATGTAGTACCAAAAACTGATCAACCAACCAAAGAAACCCTTCCAAAAAATACCCCTGCAAAAATCACCAGTAGCCTTGTACAAAGCTAGTCCTTGCTTAACTACTTGCTTTGTTTTACAAAAAGGTAAATCACAAGGACTAAATCAACATAGGAGCTCTAAATCCACCATACTACTTTAATAATAATATTTTTTGTACAGTTGCTTATATTTTTGTTTACTCAGCTTAAAAGCAGGTGAAAATAAAGGTATTCAAAAGACTTAATTTTAATGTTAGGTGGTTTTATGTATTAAAAATAAAGTGAAAAGAGATTTTTATAAAATGGTCTAAGATTAATGTTAGAAAATATTTGCTGAGTGATATGCGTTGTTTATCTGCCTTAAATCCTATTTTATTTTATGTGTACACACATAAATATATATGTGTGTGCCTGCTATATGCAAATGCATTCAAGTATAGAGCAGGTACTGTTAACTTTGACCAATATCTTTATTGCTTTCCTTAGAATATTCTGTGATTTTTTGCTCTCTGCAAGAAGCTTCAGAAAAGTTTTTGTGGCACTGTGTAACCAAAACCTCACTGAATTACTGTTCTGTCCAAGAGAAGTTTTCAAACACAGTTGAATATTACCTTGAAAATGCAATTTTTGAATAGTAATGATTCTTTAAAGTCTTTGTTGTGGATTCTCTTCCTTCCTATTTCTGATCTTTAAAAATAAATTTCAATTATATGGACCATTACAGAGCCATAATTACATCATGAGAAAATTTAGGTTATTCATTTTTTTAACATTTACTGCTGCCCTTTCTTTTATTAAGCTAAAAGAAAATAGAAAATTCTTCACATTTTTTCTTTAGCAAAAACAATAGGTGATATGATGTTTGTATTTTGCCCACTTGCAGGTTGCTGTTTGAACATTTGTGCACCACCTCTTCAACCACTATATAAGGAACCACCTTGCATTTCATTCTTGCACGTATGTAATGATTTTACAGAATTTGAAAGAATGTACCATGGATGGAAACAAGATATGCTCCTGAAGAAATGTTTTATTCTACAAAACTTGCCCAATTTGAGCATTTTCCAGGTAAAGGATCTGCTTTTTTCTTTATTTTTATTATTTTTTTTCTTTTTCTGAATGTTATTTGTTTGCTTTAAACACTGTAGAGTAAGTGACCTAAGAAAAGCTTGCTGAGTCAAAAATTCTTTCTCCCAGAGTTATTTGTGAGAAGGGAACAATACCTAAAATAGTAACCCACTTGGAATCAAATCTACCTGAAAATACCACAAATATGTGATTTTTTTTTTCTTACATAGTAGGAAAAAACCCCCAACCTAATGATCTCCAATCCAAATAGTTACCATAGTAACTCATGTTATGGTATATTATTTATGGACATATTGCAACATAGTATTCATAATGTGTTACTTTTTTCAGACCTTATGCTTCTGGTTGTTCAGGTAACATTTGCACAGCTGAGTGAAATGCCAGATCTTTTCACTTGTAGCAAGCTAACATTTCTCTATCCTATCAAAAAGTGCAGAATGATGTGTTTTTGAGAACACTATAAAAAAATCATAGGTTTTAAAAATTATATTTAGAAAATCAGTGTAATACAGCAAAGCAATGCTGCTAATTTCCTTTTTTATCCCTGCCATGTTTTATGGGCTGAAGGGCAGGGGGATAACGCTGCAACCACAACAAGTAGTGTATTCCTGATCTGCTGATGGAAGGGAATGGCACTTCATTAAAAACTCAATTGAAACTGCTGAAAAGAAAGCAAACAGAAGTATCACATGACTGGCTCTACTGTAGTTTTTCATAAATGCTTTTTAATAGTGATGTGAAGACGTAAATTGGTCTGTAAAAGGCAGACTAATTTGTTAAGCTTGTGTTGATGGAATTTCAAAGTAATTTTATTTTTCAAGGATTATCTTCAGACAACTATTTACTGAAATAAGTGCCTATGTTCTTGGTAAAAGCAACGTTCTCTTCCTTCTGCTTACATTTTGAGGCACGAAGAGCAGCTGGACACTCTACTGCTAAAGAACAGTAGTGAAACTTGGTCGCCTGGCTTTGCCATTCTCAGCCAGGGGCCAGAGTAGGTGCTCTGTCTTTCACTGCTCTCTTCCTTTTTATACAAATGCTGTCTTAAAAAAAATTAAGCTAGGTGTTGCTATGACTGCAAAAGAATGCCATTGAATCAAAGGGAACTGTCTGCACATCCAGGTCACTCTGAAATGCTTTGTCTTTGAAGCTGATCTCACATGCGCACCAAATTGAATATTTGGATATAAATATTTAGACACTTGAGTTGATTAAGTTTACTTAACACCCAAGTATTTTTACTTGTTATCTAATTACCATGTTACACAGAGCAAGTTTTTCAAATGAGGTTTTCCTGCCAGCAAGTGCCACTCTTCCCAGACAGGAGCTCAGCTATCAGTTGATATTCCCTTTTCTGCTTGTCATTTTCATCATTTGGCACCTGTAACTATTTTGAACACAATTTATGTCATTTATACATGACGTGTGTGACACCTAAATGCCACAAATCACGCATATGCATCATGGCTGCCACAAATTTACATCTGTAATTATCTATACTTGCAAACTGTCATTGTTATGAGGCCTTGTTGGAGACTGGCTGAAGAGCATGACATACTTCACTCATCCTCTACATGGAAACTACATCTTGTTCCATAATTTTTTTCTGTTTGAAAAGTTATTAAGATGTTTTAAAATAAAAATTAGTTAACAATTGACATGGATGAAAAAGAAGTATTCTGTGTGAGAAGTATTTTTCCTCTCTGCACTGCATTTTATTTCAACTGTGAATAGACTTTTCAGAGAAGATATTAATATTTTATTGAGAACAGTCCTGTTCCATTATTACTCTGACCATGCAATTATCCCATTAATGAGCAAAAAAGGGTGTTTCCCAATATAGATTTCTTTTTACCACCAACATTTACATGGATTCTGGTACATCCTGTTGATAAATATTCTTGTAATTCTTTCTTTTTTTTTGTATTGGAAAAGAAAGCAATAATCACTCTAGTTGTAAAGTGTCCAAACCTGGTGGTTGTGGTTGTACAGATCTAAGATTTTCCTGCTATGATTATTTTTTGTAAGAAGACAGTAAGTTCACTCAGAGGTAGGAAGGTATTTTTGCCCATTCACTGTCTAATTATTGGTGCAGCTTCTCTACTACAAACTGATGATTTCTGAGAGGGAAGGGAAAACTTTATTTATAATCCACAATTCTTTTGTTAAATAGTCACTATGTAATGATTCAGTTCCAAAATATCTTTAAGTTGTATGTACAGTCTCCTCACAATGGAAACACATTTTTTTTCAATCAAAAATGTTGATGTTTTGGATCTTTTTATATCACTGGATGCTGTTTATACCATTGGAACTGTGATCTAAGAGCTCACGCACATGTCACAGGCTCTCAGTCCAAGTACTTTGAAACATACTCAGCTAGGATCCTTGAAGGAAAATTTTTGTAGTGCCTCTCTGCTGTGTGTATCATTACTTTTTTTAATGCTTGCTCTTCCTCCTCCAACTCCAGTCTTTGAAGTGCTGTGTCTCTGTAGCCAGCTGATAGAGTTCATAGAGATTTTGAGGCTGGGAGTATCTGCATTTATTTGGAACATGTAGCTAGCAATGAAGACTCTTAACAGCCATTCTAGAGCTGTTTGAGAACTGGCTGTTGCCAGCTGGTGTCATTTTCTCATGTGCTGGTTGGTGCTACTTATTTTTAACACCACTATTTTCTAAATGGTAAGAGCAGAAGAAAGAATTGGTGAGGGTAAACATCACTGTCTACTTAGAAATTTTGTATTAATAGAATATTAAATGTTAAGGAAGGTAAGGCTAGGGGAAGGATTAAAAGGGGGAAAAAAGGAACAAATAAAATAATTGAGTTGAAATGAAATTTAATCACTCACTGGCTTATAATATCAGTGCTTCACACACTCCAAAAAGACAAAATAGAAAATGAAACACTGTGATTAAAGTTGCACAAATGGAAATAAAAGCCATAAAGAAATCAGAAATTAAATCAGTATTTTAGCTGTACATAGGTATCTCTTTCCATCTGACCATCTGACTTCTGACACCTGATGTTTGCCTGTGCATTCCCAAATAAGCCATCTGCCAACACCTGTTTTGGAGCCAGTTAACTTGTGTGGGACTTGTGTTTTTAAGCCATTGATGGGGACACAATTGAGAGGTAGGGTTTGGATGAGGTTTTTTTTGGTATAATAATTCTTCTTCTTGTAGTGACCAATATTTCAGTCTGCATACAAAATTGCTGAGCTTCACTGACAGTAGTGTTTTTCCTCCTCACCACAAGAGGAGTTCTAGTCCTATGTGAAGTTGGAGAAGCCTTTGCAGAGTTTGTAGAGATCTTCCAAGTGACTCTTTGAAGCTGTCGTTTTGTTGTGTTAAAAGAACACTCATTAAAAAAAAAAAAAAAAGCTGCAGAAAGTGTTTAAGAAAGCACATTAATTCTCAAATGAAACTTTGTAGAAATGCTTAGCAGCTGGTGTACGATCTGAAAAAGGTTCTTTCTTTTATTAGAAACACATAACATTGGCATTCCCACTACTGCCAGAAAAGGTTATGCCAATATGAAGCAAAGAGAAGGAAGGAAAGAAGATTAACAAGTTTTCCAGCTTTCCATTTCTACATAATAATATGACTTGAAGAAAAAAAAAAAAACTAATGTTCATTATATAAAGGGAAATACCTTTTGCATCTTTGTTTCTCTAGTTCCAAAACAGATTGGAAGATTTTTGCTCTTGTGAAGGACTTTATTGCTGCATTTTGGAAAATGGATCTGCTAATTGAAGTCAAGTACCTGAATGGTGGCCTTTTTAGGTTTGGGGGAGCAGAACACAACAAACAAACCAAAACCCCTGACCTTGAAGATTCAAGGTTTAACTTCCGTTGCAATAATTTGCCTGGTTCTGCATTTGTGGTCATCCTGACCTGTTTGGTAGATAAACAGTAGGGCTTCACTGACCTCAACTTTGACACCTATGAAACTGTTACAAAATCTAAAATTTGGAATTGCAATAGGAAAGCATGCCAGTAAAAACTGTGCCTTTTACATGTTAGATATGCAGATATACATTTAATTTAATTTTCTAATTTCTTATTTTCTTTCCACTTTTCTTTTGCTATGGCACAACTGATGAAAGCCAAAGTGTAAGTTTTTACCTCAATCCAATCAGTTCCCTGATCTTAATAGGTCATCTATACTAATCTGATTTTTGTGATTTAAGTCTAGTTATGCTATCATAAAAATCATGGAGAGCATTTCTATGGTGCTTCTTCCTGTGATGTGGAAAACAGCTCCTTTTTTGATCTTGTAACTAAATGAAAAAAATGCAGTATAGATAAAGCCATGTGTATCTTATATAGCCTCATTTTTCTCTGAGTTTATCAATCTCATTGGCCTTGTCACACAGTTACTTATGTCAGTTGATTACAAACCACCACAAACATAAAGAATGGAAACACTACCACTATTCTTGGGTATAAATTATATTTACATAGGAATCTCCTTTGTTTTCCCTTTGTTTCTCCACACACAAAGACATCCAGCCTTGCAGCCTGGGGATCCTAAACATGCTGCACGGCAAGGGCTTGGGGAGAGAGAAGAGGATGAGGAGGAGCTGTGAGCCTGACTGGCTTTATTCCAGGGAGACTGTGATCAGTAGTGGGGAGAAAGGAAGGGTTTCCTTCCTTTATGACTGTCAGGCTCTTTCTGTGCTTCCCATCAGGTAGGATTACTCACACTCCTGCGTTGTGTTATGTGGTCTCGGGACCCATCACTGAATTCTTAAGGTTCAACTTTATCTGCATGTATTGTGAAGACTTACTTGAATACCTCTATTTTACTTTTGCTGCAGACCAGTTTTTTTTTAGTTGCAACTACATTCCACTCTGTTGTCAATTACTTTGTAGTTAGATTTGGGCCCAATCAGCTCAAATAGCACTGCCTTCACTTAGTCACTTAGATCCAATTTAGCTACCTCGAGAAGTGACTATTAACATTAATCACGTAAATAATCAGCACCTTTTCAGAATGGCTGAGTAGAGGTGGGAGATAGAATGTTCCTTCCTGAAGGCAGATGAGTTGGAATTTTTTGGCCAAGCAGATAAAATCCTAAGATTACATAGTCTTCATTGGTTGCTACGTAAAGTGAGACGGGAGATGAAATTCTGTGACCTTTTAAAAACGGGCAATTACAGTTGCTGAGAAATTAGCATACATGAAATCTGTGTAGAATTGCATAACTGAAGTTGTATGAATGATTTAACATCGATACTACCATTGCCCTGCTCATACATTTAGCACATATTAAATTTACTGTAGATCTTCTAGATTTTGCAAACCTGCATGTTAATCTGATTTTTTTTTTATATTATACCTTTAGTAGATAAAATGAAGTGTCAAGTTAAATTAAGCAGTAAAATATTTATTCTAAGCTGTTGATGACAGCATCAACAATGTATTAGGAACCAACCCCAGGAAGCACTGACTTCTGTCCCATCTACTTTAATGTGAATCTGAAATAAGCCATTTAAAGGTAAGGGATATGTTAATAGAGTTAAGTCAGTGTAAAATTGGCATGAAAAGAGGATGAAGATGTAATATTGAGTCATTGGTTCAGAAAAAAATACAGAACTCGTTGTATGTAAAAATTCTTATGACTGATGCATGACATCTGCTTCCAGATGCAGGTTGTTCCTCTGATCCTTTTAAACCAACCACTGGGACATCCTTGTATTTTGTGTACTTGAATATTCATGTCAGGGAACTGAAAATATTTGGGTGCTAGAAATACAAAAGACCTATTTTTGGGAGTTATCCCAGCAGTTCTGAAAGATTATTTAAACTTATCATGGTGTTCCCAGTATGGATAAGGGTATTTCCTTAGTCAACTATACTTGGTAACTTAATATGACTGCTCTATTTTCTTTTCCATGACATGGCATGGAAAAGTGTTAAATATTTCAGGTTGTGCTGAATGGATATAGAAAGTCACAAAATTGGCAAATGCATCTCAATAGAGTATGACGTGAATTATTAGAATTTTAATGCAAGAAAGCACAAATTCCTGCATATCCAACTGCATCCTCAGCGCTGTTTGATCCTGGCTATCTCAAAATGTCTATAGCTATATGCTGGGTCAAGTCACAGAAGTAAAACTCCCATTGCAAGGCACTGTCTTCCTGCAGGCCCCTCCTACTGCAAGGGAGTCCCATGTACCTGGCTATGGCTTGTCCTCACCTCTGGCTCCTGGCCTGAGGGTTGCAGGGAGGCTGTGACTGTGCTCATGTCCCCTGTAGCCCTGCAGGAAGGCTACAGGTGGAATCCACTTTCTACACTTCACCTTCAAATCCTCCTGTAGCTTCCCTGGAAGTGCAGCCCAAATTGAGATCTTAATATAGCACCTATGTGCAGTTATTAAGAGGGGAGGGCTATATATCCAGGCTTCTGTTTGACATTTCTATAGCCTGATGTGAAATGTACTGCTTGCTGTAATTGGCTGATAAGTGGAGAAGATAGAAAGTGGTCTGGCTTGACTGCTACAAAACACTTCATGATTATGTTGCATAGCTCACCTCTTTGTTTGCTGTATCACTGCATCATGATTATGATTCTAATTAGTTTATTTTAATCACGATCAATACACCAAGGAGAAGCATCAGACAGCTAATATGATTTATTACATATTCCAAGAGCATTTGTCTCAGATTTGGCATTTCTGCTATCTGTCTCCAGAATGCCCCTGCCTGCTTGACAGCAGCCTGTCAGTGCTGCTATGATTGCTCTATGCAGTGACTTTAACTGCCAGCTTTTCCTGCAGCCTTGGAGAGTGATCGATCAGCACTACAATCGCAGCTACACAGAATATTTTAACACTTGCCTATGGCCCTGCCAATTATAAAAAGATGGAGTATCAATGCACATTGCAATCTGGTGCTGTAGCACTTAAGCATCAAACAAAAGACAAAAAAGTAATCAGTGGTGACCGCCTTTATGAATATCTTTCTCTTTTGAAGCTTTTTTTCTTATAACTGATGTTTTACACATAGCTCTGGAGGAACATCAAGAGCTGTCTTTGTAAAATTAAGGATTCTTGGAGGTACTGTTAGTACTGAAGTAGTGGTAAGGAAACACAGTAATGCTAAAGATTTTCATAAACTGTCTTTCAAACCTGTGAAGTCAAAGGTCAGGTGAGGCGGTGGGTTATTATTATTAATGAATATAAGAGCAAGGGGAGATATTAAAGTTTCCTTCAAAACATACAATATTTTACAGCTGAGTTTCAAGGCATCTTATTTTCCTGAACCTCTAGTATGGGTGACTTGACCCTGGTTTTATTGATTAAACTTTTATTCTTCCCCAATGAATAATTTAAATTATGAGCTGTAGTCTGGCATGATTAACAGGAGTGTAGGAGAGATTTTAAAGTAATACACTGTATGCTTCTCCTACTTCATTGGATTCCTCTGTATTGCTGCACTCTGGGTTGAAAACCTTATTTGCAACTTTGTAATTTGATTGCCAGTTCTGTTCAAAGCCTAATAACAGATTTTCACTTTTTCATGCAGGAGGAGGTTTGTTATGGAGCTGGTTTTGGTTCCCTGATTCTCCAGTCAGTCTCCAACTTTACTGGAGTTTCTAATCTGTGCTCATAGTTCAGCTCACCTAACACAGGTGATTCAGATGTGCTGCAGTAAAACATCTCCCTGACCTCTCCTTTTCCCTGAATGCAGCATGTAACAGTCCTGTTGGATGGGGAAAAGGGCATGCCCTGTTTGCCTCAAACACTATTGCAATAAGGTATGTTTATCACAAGGAATTTTTATATAGGGGGTTTATGATGTGGGAGGATGGATTGTAGGAGACTAAAGATAGTGCTGAAGGCAATCTGGCCCCTGAGGAGTTGCAGCTGTACTAATTACCAAAGAGTAGGAACAGCCCTGCCCTTAACAGGGCACAGCTGTGTCCAATAAGGGTGGGCCAGTGAGGATGGGTGTTATAAAAGAGTGGCTCAGCTGGTCGAGAAAAGGCTTGGAGTTGGTTGGCTGGGCTGGGAGTAGCAAGGGCTGGGCATTTGTGCTAGGGATTGAAAGGGTCAGGTTAGGGACAGTAAGGTTAGTATGTCTGCTAGGGACAGAGAGGGTCAGGCAGTCGTGCTAGGGGTGGGAAGAACTTAGCCAGCCACGTGGAAGAAAGAAAAGGAGACAGTGTTGCAAGGAGCTGCCTGTGAGAACTCACAGAGAGAAGGTATGAAAGTTTTTTTATCATTTATGGAATGATAAACTGATGGTCAGTCAATTGGTGCCAAGCACCAATGCTGATAGTAGGAAAATGCAGTAACCTGTAGATTTGTATTTTCATAAAACTATGCAGCGCAAAAGGCCCAGATTTGGACTGCGAAGAGTTTTTAATGTTGCACGTAATGGTCATTATACTCTCACTAATATCCTCAGGTGCTCTTGCAGGTCCCACTGATATGCCAGAGCATTAGTGTGCAAGTCCTAAAAATAAGTGTGATCAATATAGTGACTGCATGAGTATATTTTATACAAGAGATGTGTAGGTGGCACTGAAAAACAATCTCAGATTGTAAATGGTATTCAGAGATATGACTTTCAAAATGTTAAATAATAAGGACTGACAGCAACAACAAAAGAAAAAACACAAAGCATTTCCCTTCTACTAAGCCATAAACTGCAGCAAAACTCAGGAAAAGGGCCAAAAATAATTATACCGGTTCCCCAGGAAACAGGTATTTTTAATTACAAAGCTGTATTAGCTGGCTAATAGTCCCCATGGTGAAGTTGTACACAGGAAATTGCCTGTTGCAGTTGCCAGGCTGCTGCTGCAAAGTCTGTTGTACCCCTGCACCAAAGTGCCTGCAGTCTTGATACCTTGGGCTTTAGCTTTAATATTTTTCAGATTCTCTGCTGCCTGGCATGTAACTCTGAAACTTCACATTAGGTGTTAGTAGGTTCTCTTCACGGAGTAGTTAGACAAAGCAATTCCTTCCCAGTGAGAGAATCAAGGACAACTGTTACCCAAAAAGCATTAACAGTGCAAAGAGAAGGGAGCAAGCCCGTGGGTTGAGACTTCATGACCTGGAGCTGAAATTGGACAATTGAACACAATATGTAGATGAACCAAAATGTATAAAAGTGTAAAAACTTGTGACTGGGATCCATCTTGGATTCAATCTGGGTGTAGCCCTGGCCAGGCTCTTGTGCTGCCCAAGGTGTATCCCTTTAAGGCCTTTCAATAACTACCTGCTTTGTCTATTTAGCTCTGTTCCAGATCAGCCTTTCTAGGCATCAGCCTCAATCCAAATGCTGTTGTCAAAACGCTCCTTGGAGTCTTGAAAGCAGCCAGGGCTGTACTCACAGCCTCTTCCCATGTCCCCTTTTATAATGTGCCTTGATGTGGCAGGGATGATCCCCTGTTCTCAGGACAAGGGAGATCCCTACATGGTGCTCCCAGTCCCTGTAATGATGTGAGCACAAAGTGGCGCTGCCATGAGTTACACGGGAAGGGAGCACGTTTCTGGAGGTTGTGGCACGTGTGCAGGCACTGGGGCCATGGAACAAGGAAAGGAGAGAGCACAGCCTTCTGCCTCAGGTGGGCTTGGTTTCCCAGCCACAAGCAGGAGAAATAGTTTATTGACACCTAAATCTTGATAGTAGAGGGAGCACTGCCATATCTTTTTCCTTTTTTTTATTTCAAATGATGACTACATTGGGGTTGGTTATTTACCTATGTATTACAGTCTCTGCACTATTACAAATTCTGTATTTCTTAAATAGTTTATAGAATATGTCCTTTAGAAAAGCTTTTGACTATTTTATTAGACTGTTTTTCTAACATAAAAGAAGTATATATTTAATGAAAATATAGTACATTTTCCCTGCAAGCTGTTTAATGTACAGGCATATTCCAACCATTAGAACTTGGCACTTTCCATATGGATTCAGTTTTAACTCAGTCTTAAACAGCATTTTGTTAAATATTTTTTGGCATTTTTAAAACTAGTTGTTCTGAAGTAAAATGTGCCATAGCAGCAAACTAATTTCAAAAGACAGTTATGAGCGTAATCCAAATCCTAAAATGTTAGAATTGATCTGAAGATGGCATCAGACAATATTCTTCAATGAAGTCTTTCCTGGGAAGATGAAATGTTTTAAAGAGAAATTGTACCATACTAAAGTTAAGATAGCACAATCCTACCTCTGTACACCTAAAATTGTGGAGCCTAGAAAAACTAAAGGAATGGCGTGTTCATGTCTGCTCACCTTCATATCACCTACAGTATCACAGTGGTCCATCTGCAGGGTTATTACTTTAGAACATATTTCAGAGAATGATATGCATCTATATTTTCATGAAATTGTTGGTCTAATATAAAATCAATTATGATCTCAGAGGTTTTTATTTGTATTCATTAGAGGATTGGATACTCTTGCCAGGTATTCTAGTCTGTGTATGTGGGGAAGAGGATTATGCTTTAAGTGGGTCACAATCCCAGCTGATGCTGGGAAAAGTGCAGCACTGAGGAGATCCAAGGTTGTGGTTTTCCAGAAGCGCTCTTCTGGCCACGCTGTTGCTGCTGATCCTTCAAAGAATGTTTAGCAGTGCCTGTCAGCTCAGTCTTTCTACAAGTTGCTGTTTGCAGTACTGAGGTCTTAAATATTTTCTGATGTCTCAGGTTTAGTGGTTTAAAACTTTCTGACAATCGTTATCCTTCAGTAATTTTCATAGAAGAGTCTCTCCATCCTAAATTTCAGAGCAGGTTAATCCCACATCTCCGCTGTGCTGGATAAGTTTTACACAGCTATGAACTTGTAACAATATACATTTTAATGTATCTTCCTACACCTTGGCAGACCTATAGGACAATTTATTAACCATCTAGTGAAATAGCAGGAGGGCTTCTTTCATTTGGAGCCTGGAGACTGAATTGGTGTTCATTTTTTCCACTGATATGCAGTCACTGAGAACATACTTAAAGAATAGAAAATGAAGTACCATGCAAAGATAAAAATGTGATTTATGGATTGAATTTGAACTTGTGATATTGGTTGTTATGTATATATAGATTTTTAAAAAATCTTTTGTGCTATAATGGGTTATAAGTGCATTTGTACATTGAAGCTGTAAAAAAGAAATTGATCTATTCTTAAAATTATTTGCTAGTATTTTAATATACCTGCATTCATTTACGCTATAGAAAAGACAAAGAAGCAAATTCTGAGCTGCTCTTAATGTATTTTAGTGGATGAAGCTGAAGATCCAAATGCAGCTGTCAAATGCAAGATGGAAGATTTTACAAGGAACAACATGGAATTGGATTTAAAATTGTAACTTCATCTGTAATTAACTCTATCTTTTTTCTATATATTTGATAATTTGAATGCAAAACAAAAATTCTTGGATTATACAAATGAAATTCAAATTAAGGCAGTCAAATTTAAAGGATGAGTGTTAATAACTAAAATGTGCTCATTTTTAAGGAGGAAAATGTTTCTGGTGCAATGCTTAGATATATTTGTGGTAGAGACAGCACTTTCTAATTAGAATGCTTGATGTTAAAAACTGAGCAATGCCTATGGGTTCCCTGTTGTGCCTGGAGACTTGTACCCCTTTCACTGAACATGTGAATTTCTGCTGGTGTCATCTGAGCTTAAGAATCCTTCTACACTTTAGACAGAGTTAATAGGCAGTGATTTCTTTGCCTTGTTGCTTCATGTTAGTCACTTCTATAAGGAACAAGTAGAGTTTTCATGGATTTTGAGGTAGAAATGACAAATTTGCATTGTTCTACATCTGAAGTGTAATTTTCTATTGCTGTTATACATTTTATTGAGTCTTTTTTTCTGGTATGAATTCCATTCAGTAAAGTTGTGAATCAAATTCAAAGTTTGTTTCACCTGAAATCTGTCACCTAAGACTGTTTTCAGTCATCCTCAAGTAGTAGATTATAGGTATGGAATTAGTTTGGGTGTTCTTGCTGGTTTTCTTTCATGGAATACAAGCCTTTTGTCTTGCCATAGTTGGCTGGTTTTTTTTTTCTTTCTCCTGTAAAATAATAGAAAAGAATAACAGAATAATTCTTATGTGAATAATTATTGTATTTAGATGGAAATATTCTCTGCCAGAAAGTGTTGTTTAGACAGAACTGAAATATTTTCAAGGAAAATGATAAATTTTTAAGGTGTGCTACAGGTTAGATGGAATTTCACCTGTTTTAATTTAAAAGAAAAAAAATCAGAGTATCAAATTAATTCTGATAATTGCATGTGATGTTAATACTAAAGCTATGTTTCTTGGTAGCCCCAGATAAGGTAAAGCTCACGACTTTCTTCATAATTACAGGTATCTTATAGGTATAGAGCTCTGAGGCTCTTCAGTCCAAAAATTCTCTGTGCCCTTGAGTATCTTTACTTTTATTGATGGTGATTCTTTTCATATCATGATTGGAGAAAAAAAAATCCAAGGAGTGGAATTTTTTCCCCATTCATTAATGAATGAACTGTCTTGCCCAATCTAAGTGCTTTATATCTTTGAAAATTCTTGAGAATTAGCATACTATATTCTGCTCCTATCTCTGAACTTTTTATGTTCATATCTGACAGAGAGAATCCAAATTGCTCAAACTCAGAACTAAAACCAAAGTACTACAACGGAGTATTACACTTCTGTCTACGTTTAGAAGCAAAGAACAATTATATTATCTGTTGACTCTCAGAGAGAAGAAACAGGAATGCATCACCATTTGTAGTCTATAGATACTACTGGTTGAAATGACAGAGGGCTTCATGTAGCAATAAATTATAGAGAGCTAGAAATCATAAAGTTTTAGAATCACTGATTTTTAACATTTGTAAAAGTCTAGCTTTTTTAATTAAAAAGTCAGGATGTACTGACATATTTTAACAATTAAACCTTTTTTTAATATAATAGGAAGGGATAAAAGATATATCAATATTGTGACACTTTTTTTATGCCGTATGTATATGGAAAGTGATTATATCAGAAGTCAACCTGATTAAGTGATGTAATACCCATGAAAATAAAGTGGGGGAGGGATCTTGTTTTATTGTTTCACTATAACAATTTAATTTCCCAAGCTACAAAAAGGTGGTGCGATGAGGGGGGTTGGGGCTGTGTTCTAATGTAGCTTTCTAATTTCTGTCTATGATAACTTTGCACTTCAATCTGAAAAAAGAATGCATGTTAAGACATTGCTGGGGTGAGTTACTGAAACCCTTCTCCACATTCCCACCTGTTTGCCATGGCTCCTGCAGGCCTCCAGAAGACTGGCACTAGTTAGTGAGTCTTAGTTGAATGCATAGGAGACTGTAGATTTTAACCTTCTTTTTGAGCATAATTCCTTTGGGAAAAGACTTTAAGGGATTATTTTTGTGGGAGTTTTCTGGCCAAATTGTTTCGGCAGGCTAGAGGCTTTTACAAAACTGATGATGCCCTTTGGGAATGTAATTTTCAGCATTGCTTGTATCTTGCCTTGAGAAATAAAGAGGACAAGCCTAAGGAAAGTGACTTCAGAGCTTTCTTCTGTGACTGTTAAACCTTCTGTGAACATTTCAGGAAGATGTGGACCCCAATCACAGAGTATCCCCTCAAGGGCAATTGTGCAAATTTGCTTTATCATCTGAGAGATTAGTTGCTGAGTCTGGTTCCTGTGAGCTGTGCAATCCTACTGCACGAGCCTCCTTTATCTTCTCTGCCTTACTTCCCTTCCTGTAAAATCCAAATAGAAACTGCCTATATATATAGGATCAGTAAGGAATATTTCATATAAGATCAGTAAGGAAAGCTCTTACTCCTCTAATTCGTATTTGTGGTGCTCTAATAAAGGACAAGCAGTTATTATGGGCTGATATTTAAGTAAATGTAAAGAATATCATTAGAGGAAAGCATTGAATATAGCATTGCAGAGTCAAGGATAAACGTCATCAAAATAGGAAACTGATGGCATTTGAGATTAGTGCACTTGGAATTCATGATCAATTTTTGTTCTGTCTAAATATTTCTAAAGGGAAGGGATGATGAACTTAAGTGTTTTTGAGAGTGTGCCATAAAAAAATGAGGCCCACAGCAGGGATTGTTTTCATAGCTAATTACGTGAGAAAATATTAATAATATGTTCAAGAAATCTTAGTAATATAATTCTTTGTTTTCTATGCTGCTTAGATATTGGTGGAGCTTTCTAAATGTTAGCATATTTCCTGTCACACAGGGCTGACTCTTGTCTTTGGGAGTAAGAAAAGTTCTTGTCTTTTCAACAGGATAAGGAGATTCATGTTTATCCAAATTCAAGGTGTAGATGTTTTCTGTAATTAGATTTAAAGAGTTCTCTTAGTAAGTGATTTTTTTAGTTACAAATGCCTGCAGGGCATTGTGCCTGAATGGCATCATCTCTCATATCATTTTTGTGGAGCAAGGAAGATAGACCCATCAGCATCTCTGGAGCCAGCCATGACTGTGACCCCATGGTTTTTGAACCATCTTTAGCTGGTAGATAATTTTGATAACTGCTGCTAATAATAACTTTGGGGTTATTATTAGGGTTGATAGTACTGAAATCTAATCTGATCAGAGTTCATCCTTTCCACAGTTGCAAGAAAAATATTGAATGCATTACTAAATTCAAATGTTTTATTACCTTAAGTTGTATCCTCACAGTGGGGTAAATCAAATTTCATTACTCTTCAGAAATCTATGTGTAAGCTGCATATGAACAAAGTGGTTAGCAATCATTGTTTTTATGGTAAGAGAGGGACACAGATAATTTGTATTCATGTTATCAGGACCATTTTCAGGGTTTTCGTCAAAGCAGTAGCAATGAGTGTGTCTGATGCCTGTTGTGTCAAGCTCTAATATGCTTTCTTATGGTCACTTGTTTTGATTGAAGAGGAATTGCTAGAGCTGAGAGGACAAAATGAATGCTATTACAGAGAGCGTTATAGGCACAGAGAAAAGAACAAAACTTAGCGAGCCCTCAGTACGTGAGGGCTGCCTATTACCTCTGCAGCCGTGCAGTGAGCATCCATGAGAGCCATTTATAAAGTGTGCCTGCGTGGGGCTCGGATGGCACCCTCTGATGATGAGTTAATTGAACGGTGTCAGCCAGGGCACTCCTGGCCCTGGAAAGAGGCTGACAGGATGATGGCAGCAGTCACTACTTCATTACTTAGAAACAAAATCAGAGATTCTTCATTTTAAAGGCAGGAGCTGCCAAGCAGTTTAAGAGCAAACAGTTTAATGTGTGGGGGTGGATGAGGTTAGGAGCTTTTATGTGTGAAGAGCTTCACTTAACCCTGTGATGGCATTCCACTCTTGATCTGTCTGTGGCATCCCAGCAGACAGGTCAGTCCTACTGTTTTAACTCTGGTTTTTGATTCTCACCAACCAAATCTATTTTAATTGTTTAATTAAATTAATTTTCCTCAAGTAAGTCTGTTTTGCCCATGACAGTAATTGGCAAGAGATCTCTGTCTTTATCTTGACTCACAAGGTTTTTAATCTCATTTTCTCCCTGTCCTACCGAGAAGGGGGAGTGATAGAGAGACTGGGTAGCCATGTGGCAGCTAGAGAAGGTCAACAGAGCATCCTATACATTGTAGCTGCCTCAGTCATGCCAGTGCTGCTATTCAGTGTTCCATTTTCTCCAATCCTTTACAAAGATCAGTGTGTAAGCATAAGGAGGTAACAAATAGAACTGGCAGCTGCTTTATTGCTTGAAAATTCTGCCTTCTTCAGTAGTCATCTTATAAATGGGATTTATTTCCAGTGTTGGCTATGCTTTGTCCCCTTACGCTTTTCAACCTTGTCCCTCACACCATCCATTAGAAAAAACGAAAAAAATGTTGAGAAGTGTCACTGCTTTGTTCTATAGGATGATTTGGGATTTGTGCCTCTGTTTTCACTTGTAGATGGAGTCCTCTGGCTAAGGAGTATTTTCCATAGTTAGTGCTTCTCAGAGGAGGATTGTTGTCTAAGAAAAGTAAGAATCACAAATGCCACACTTGATACCTGGGTGCTCAGCCCATCCATCTCAGATGTACCCATACCCACGAGGGAAAAATGTCTCCCTTCCTGATCCTGTTTGTCACAGAAGCGGGTTTGGCTGTGAGGTAAGGTCCCAGCTTAAGGCTGGGATACAGGGAACAGGGCATGGGCAGCAGCCCACAGCCCCCCCCGAATGCTCACCAGGTGCAGACTGTCCCTACCCAGCCTGTCAGGCATCACAGTTCTGTCTCTGTGCCCCTTTGAACTACTGTCAGCTTTTATTGTGTGTAAGCACAATAACAGGAAGGGAGGTCATAGTATATTTTAACATTTTTAATGAAAGACAACATTGGATGTACAGACTGCAGTCATGGTAGTAGATTTGGCACTGATGTCAATGTAAGTAAAAAACTGAGAAAGGACAAAATGTCTCAAATTCCAAGTTTTAAATGTTAAATGAAGTAAACTGTAAGAAATTTTCAGCAGCAGTGTCCCATAATTCCAGTAAATAAATGGAAGTATTTTACATATTTTACAGAGGTATTTTACATCTTTTACTACTTATTTTGCTGTTTTCATACATGCTAAATTCTTCTGAAAATACAGTTTAAATGGTCTTTGGAGCATCCTCTATAATCTATAGATGGTGAAACAGGAAATTTCTAGACTGAAAGTTTGAAAATACTGCTGTTACTATCATTTTCAGCAGTAGTGACTGTCAGTATTCAATCTTGGCTTCCTCCAGCTGGCCATTAATAGTTTAGTTTCTTATCAGCTTTTCTATTTTTATATCTTATTGGATTTGGATGTATATTTAAGATTACATGTGAATTTTTCCGTTTTACCTTGCATTCAAGAAGCCATGCATTTTTTGTTACTTGTCCAGTTTTTAGGGATTGTTCATTGAATTCAATTTTAGGAAATTACAGCTCATGTAATGACAAAAGGATGGCATAATTCAAATAAGTTGCAGCATGAGAGATTTTGAAAAACAGTTTTAACTCCCAAATCTGGTGGTTGTTGCTGGTGATTTTTGATTGCTGGTTCATTTTTATTTAAGATTAGATTTAATTTTAGATTTGAGGCCCAGATCCAAATGATTCCTTCCACAGCAACTCCAAAACATTCAGTCTGAAGAGGGTGAGGTATAATAAGAACAAACTTCTAGTGGTATGTGCTTAGGTTGCTTTTCTGTCATCTGCTACTTACCAGCCTTTACCAGAATTTACAATGTTTCATTTCATTTAATGAGTGGTTTTGGTGAGGCCTGGAAGACAGAAGTTATCTGAGTTTCTTTAAGAAACTCATGCATTATTGCTCCCTCTGCTTCCTTTGCCTTTTATAGGTAATAATTTCAAATACTTAATGTCTTGCTATGTGAATGTCTTTTCAAACCTTTGATTATTTTTGTTGCTTCTTCAGTCTTTTAATAACCTTTCTTACACAAAATTACTGGAACAGTGAAGTGTGTTTGAAGAAACAGAAGTTGAATAGTGTTTTTGAAGAAACAAAATCAGTGATGTATGAAAAGATATGTGTGTTTTGATATTATATTATGTCCTACTCTTGGGACAACCTAACATTTCTTCTAAAATTTCTTTACCTGTTGAGAGGAAATATCACTGAGCTGTCCACAATGATAGTTCCATCCCTTTCTGGTGGTGCTTTTGTGATAAGAGAATTGCGATTGGTGTAACATAGATCTAAATTTTTCTCTCCATCTGCATTTCTGGACTTGCAGCTTTCACTTCCATTTTCATTGTGTGGTCTCTTCCTGGAAAATGAAGGTTCTATGACATTAAAACATTTCTCGGGATTACAGAGATGACATCAAAACATTTCATAGAAAGCAGGACTGGCAGGAGAGCTGGCCAGATTGCAGAGTTTCTAGCCAGCCCTAGCAGCAGCAGCACTGCCAGGCTAGTGAGATTCCATGCAGCTCTTCCCAGACCTTTCAGGCTGTTTTGATCCTCTGAACCTTTCCTTTGAGATGTTGCAAGTTCCACACCCCCAGGATGCCCATTTTGTCTGTCCAGCTGCAGGCTGAGCTGACAACTCCCTCAGGGACCTGCGCCTCATGTTGCCATATGGGAGAGTGGCTGACACTTCACCAACACTTACAGCATGTCCAGCAAGAAATACTCTGGTGCCAGGAACTCACTTTCTCAGCCATCTCCTCAGGAAATTGCTGACAGGTTTCTGAAAGATACTTTGAAGTAAAAGAAATTGGGCACTTGAAAATGATAAACAATTGGCCCTTTGAGAAAAGCAGGTCTTCAGCATCACTGCTGTATTCATCTTCAGCTGGTGGGAGGATGTGCCAAATCAACATCTTGTCATTGGCTGGTTTGGGTCTGGAGTAAAAAGCTATTGTCAGGAAGTTTAAATGACTGCTTGTGATGCTCTTGGTAGTTTTGTAGGGAATTTTTTTTTTTTTCCTTGGTTAATGAAAACTAACTTTCTCATTAAACCAATCATCCTTTCACAGGTTTCTTGGGAGTTCAGTCTGGAAACTTATGTGATTCTGTTTGATGTTGTGTTTCATGCCCTGAGAAATATAAAGTTCCAGAAACTATTTTACGAGTTGTAATTTACTTGATGATATGCCAGATATTTTGTTTCTCTTAATCCCTTGTAAGTGTTCACTAGGCTCACAGGTAAAACTCTCTCTCGTGTGCCAATATTGACATGTGTTATATGTCACATTTAATTCCACAATTCTATGGATTGTTTGCACAGTTTTTAAAAACTAGAACACAGTATTCATTGCTTCCCAGTCCTCTGAAACAGTGGCAGTTCACTACAGGTGTTGATTGAATTCTGAAGTTGCTCTGCCTGTGTGAGATGATGAAGAAACATCTTGCAGTTTTAATGAAAAAGAGAATTGCACAAAAGATTTTGGAAGGCAAAGGACTGCTGAGACTCTTGAGACATAATTCACAGCATAGGGCTCTCAAAAGAATAACAGTGAGGAAAAGGTTTGCTTAGGGAGAATGCTATGAGTAATATTTGAGAGCCTTATGGGAATAAATGAACAAAACCTTAAATATTTGTGGATAAATATTCTCAGGGGTTTCTTGCTTATTGTGAAGGTATTTTATGTACTTTGTCATATAAAAACCTGTGGTATTTCTGGAAAACAACCACTGGGGGAGGGGAGGTTAGGGGGAGTAATCTACAAAAAAAAAAGAGTAAATGGGCCAGTGTCTGATTTCTCTCTTGTTAAGGCAGGAAGGTATCATAGAAAGGCATCAGTCCCAGCAGACTTGTGAGAATATCTCGAAAATAGTAAAATATTCCTTATATTTTATTATTATATTACTTAGAGTTATTTGATGCATATCTTACTTGAATCCTAGAACTGTAGACTCTATGTGGAATTTGTAGTTTTCAAATGACTGGGATAATGTGGAAAGTTATGTACATTTTTGAGGAAAATGCTGGCATTCTTGGTAGCATTTTAATCCCAGAAATGGAGTTATTTACTTGAGGAAATTATTTTTGACCTTCTTTCTCTCTGCTTTGACTTTATGCTGTCAAGTTACAAAATTCAGCATGGTACATCATACAGGCAGCAATGGTTGATATAACAATGAAGAAACCTATTGAATATATTTAATTGGGTGCCAATTTAAGGAAACCAGAGAAAATTGCTGTACAACTGCTGGGTGAGTTGGCTGGTTCTAAACTAGCTTTAGGTGAATGTAATTAGCATCACTGCCATGTTTTTTGTGATTGATTTTTTTATAAGGTTGTGAACTAGAGAAATGAAAATAAAAGGAACATTCTACTGTATTTCATATTACCTTAAAAATCAGGTCCAACAGTTTACAAGTCAAATAGTTGTGTGACTAGGGCTTATTATCCTCCACACATCCCATATTTTAATTGATTTGATTTTTTGGAGATAAATGTCTTGTGTCACATATGTAGCACAAAGCATAACACAATATAATGCAATTTCATCAAGGATCTTTTGTAATTGCTTATCACACATGGCTGTTCATGATAGATAGAAACAATAAAAAAATAAATGAAAAATATTCAAGCCAAACAATGTTATCTTCTGAATTGTTGAATTTTTTTCCAATATGTCCAGATCTGAACACTCAGAAAACATCAATCTCTTCAGGAATGCACTAGGAACTGTGGGATAGAATTGATAAACAGCTTATTTTCCACAGATTTGAAATCAATAGTGGGGACTTTAAGGAAGACAACTGCTGGCTGCTGTATGGGGTGTAAGGAACACTTCTGAGTGCCTGGAGCAAGGTCATCATATTTATCAAGTCAATTCTTGTTTTTTTGTTTTAGTTGTTCTATTGAGGCAGTGTTAGGAGAGCAGTTACAAAGTGTCTCTTTCAATTAGTGAAAATACATTATCTAAAAATGGTATAATTTAAGAATCCGTAAGTCGGGAAAACTAATTAGAGAAAATAATTTATCAAATAAGAATTTAGGGTTTTGTTTCAGAACCAAACTTCAGCTGTACTGCTGGATATGTGCTTTGATGTGTTGGACTGTAGTAAGCCTTCATTCATTCACAAAATTAAAGTTATACAAATATAATTTAAAAATGTACTCATTATTCCTTTGTAACTTGTGCTTCCTAGTAACTAGCATTAGTTCCCAAAATGCTGTTGTGTACAGATGAACAACCTCACTTTCTGCAGTCTGTGGTAACAGAGACCCTCAAATAAACTGAATTGGTTTTGGTTACTGTACTTTCATCTCATCTTGTCCCACCTAGTGCTGGGGAACCCTTTCTTTCCCTTTAGACAGAAGTATGAAATACCTGGGAAAGTCTTAAAATGAGGAAACAGATGCTGAAAACTGAAGTGGCTTTTCACACTTCTGTAAAGCTCTGTCCCTTATCGGTAAACCATGCAGGCTGCAAAGCACCTTCAGACTTCTCTAGCCCACCACCCTGCACAAAGCAGGTCCAAGCTTTGTCCAGCCAGGCTTTTGGTACCTACTGGACAGGAGCTGCACTGCCTTTCTAAGAGATGTGTTCCCAGAATGTGAGATCCTCCTTGTGAAAATGTTTGCTTATAAATCAAGATTTCCTGTGTTGTACCTGATGTCTGTTGTCACTCATCCTACTGATGTGCACTTCTCTTCCTTCTGTGGTCCTTGACAGTACTGGGGCAATTAATTCTCTTATTATATCCTCCTTTGCTGTCATTTAGCTCAGTTTTGCTTTTTTCCAGTAGCAATAAGAAAAATGTATTTTATCTTAAAAAACTACTACTGCCTCCAGTGCTTGAAATGTGTTCTTTGCATTGACAGATATTTAATATCACAGGTCAAAATGGCAAAGCCATTGCCAATTCTGATTCCAGGGTAATATTTAACAAATTTTCAGTGTAAGTGACAAACTCCAGACAATATTCTATATGGCAGCCTAATACACAGACCCCTTATGACTATTTGTAGCAGCACATTTTTTATAGTTTTGTGGGATTTTTTATTTATTTTTCTCTTTTTTTCTGGTATTGTAAGATATCTGGCTCACCGTCATATTAAGGGTTACTTAATGTTATCTTTTTATGGGGCGTGTTCATTTCTGACTTGGTGATCTTATTCACTGCTGCTTCCAAGTCCTGTAGACATTCTTAGCATTAATATGTGGTGTTCCTAAATTAGTGAGAGGGAGACCATGGTTACCTGGCCCCATTTCATGTTCCTTATCTCCTGGGGTGTAAGAGCTCAGGGTTATAATTTGACATCTGTCTCTGATTTTGATTATAAATAGAAGAGAATTTGTTATGTTCTCTCTGGCTTCCAAGGTTTCTGTAAGGGTGAGTACAAGGTGATGGTTGCTCCACTAGGATTGCCACCTGCTAGATCTTAATTGAGAACCACAGCTAAGATCATAACTAATTCATACTAGCTACAGCTTAATTCAGCTAAGGACTTGTGCTCATAGATAATATTTTTAAGTAGTTGCTGAATTACTTGTTTGCTGTGGCAAACTCCCATTTTCTTCCATTTCTGTTGCAATGTAGTTATTCTCTAACCATAAAGCACTGACTCCCTTATTCTTTTGGAGACTCTGCCTGTTAAAGGCTAGTGACAGCCTTCAGTCTTTGGGGTTTTGCTGTTTGGTTTTTTTTTTTTAATTGTTTTCTTGATTTTAGTTGCTTGTTTTGCCAATCATCTATTTAAAACATGTGATCATTTTGATTGTATAAAGTTAAATAAAACTGACTGTTTAGAACCCGAGCACCTGGATTCTCCTTTTATTTTAGTTTGACTATTTGCCTTCTATGAGCAGATCTGTTTTTTGTGGGTTTTTTTCCTGCTGTTTCCATTGCTCTTGTTAATTCTGCTGCTTTGGGCCATGTTAAATTTGCTTTTGCCAGGAATCTCTCATTTATTACAGAGCATTCATTCTCTCAGTATGTCCTTTAGGACATTTCTAAATGGGCAGGATTCTGTTGGCCTGTTAGGCTGTCACATACACAGTTATAGTATCATGGAACTGTAATGTCATATTGCCTTTTCCTATAATAAAATATTTTACAATGGTGTTGGGTTTGATATGTTACTCTTTTACAATTATTTGTAGATGTTCTGAGGTTTTATCTCCTGGTTTCTGAGACTGCTACAAACTGCTTAAGACAGGGTAGGTTTAACCCTTTATATATTTAGGAGAATTATGTGTAATCTTGTATGTGAAAAAACATTGGCCCAGGGTTTCTATATATTGCTGCCATTTTCTGCATTGTACTGTTCATTTTTCCTACAAACTGCCACTCTTAATTTTTGTTTGTTTCATTAGTATTTATATTAAAGAAACCTTTAGTATAAAAAAGCAAATTGTACTTATATCAATGAAAAAAACTCTTGCTCTATTTCAGCAATATGAAAACAATAGAGGAAAAACACTGTGTAATTAAACAGTAAACAGTGATGAAAATGGAGAACTGCTACATTCTGTCTTGCTTTTAGTTAATTTCCTGAGATGCTATCTGTTAACTATCTGGAATAGTTTATTCTGGGGACCACAGGGTTGATGTCCAGTGTGCTTTTGAAGGAAGTAGGTACACTTAAAATAATTTTTTTAGTGATCATTTTCAATCGCTAATTTCAATTTGAGAAAATAAACACATAATTTATTTGGTTTTGAAATTATTGCTCTTGTAGATAATTTGATAGTTTATATGTATTTTATATGTCTTTTATATGTCTTTTTATATGGTTTCCTTGTTCATCCAAAATTAGTGATGAAATGTTCATTTGCTGTAACGGTGTGACTCAGGAGTCTGTCCAGATGTCCTGGTTCTGGCCAGAACAGGGTTAATTTTTTTCAATGGCCATGAGATGGCATGGCTGGGACACAGAGATTATTCTATACCACCTCATGGAATGGGATTGCTGGGGGTGGAAGGAAAGAGATTTGCTGCCAGGGAAAAGGGATTCCTGCCAGAAAAGAAAAGGTGGCAGCTGGAGCAGTCTGGTCTTTGTTTGTTCTCAGGGCCTTTATGTGTACATTGTTTTCCTTTCTTTTACATTTTATTATTAATATTGTGTCGTTATTATTAATTTTCTTATCTCAGTGCTCTTTTCAGTAAATCATCCTTATCTCAACCTGTGATCTTTGCCTTTTTGTGCCTCCATCTGGAGCACAGTAGGAGGAGAAGCAGTTGCCTGGCTTTAGTGTGAGAACTAAATTGGAGAATACCATTCCTAAACCATGACACCAGGTTGAACTGTCTTCTCTGACTGTCAGGGGAGACTGAAATCCTGGCTTTGGCCAGGCAAATTTCTGATGTGTTACCTTTCCAGTAAATCAAACTGTTTAATTATCAACATCTCTTCTGGCTCCCAGTCTCTCTTCTATCTCATGTCTCTCTCCACCTTACATTTTGACTTTTAAAAAATTATTCATAGTTAATAATAAGGGCATTTTAACTATTGCAAGTTTACCCTATTTTCATGACTTTTTTTTCTGGGTTTAGTTATACTTTGTATCATCAACTTCCACACATGATCCTTAATGAAAAAGATAGGTCCTCAGACTTGATAAAATTATATGTAAATACCTTAACAGTACTTAAGCGCTTTTTTCGCAAATTGCTTTTTACATTAATTTCAAGTATTTATATACCAATAATGTTATTTGCATTAGGGTTAAGGAGAAAAGAGATTCTGAAAATTATGCAGATTGAGGAGTACTTCAGATCTGGCAAGTATAACCTGATTAGAACTCCAGGGAAGCACAACAGAGCCACTACGTTTGGTTTCAGGTAAACACATACCTGAAGAGGAAAATTATTTTGGTATTTGCCTGAGACCTTTTTTTTCAGAACCAAATGCAGTCAGGCACCTACTGTTGTATTTCCAAAGAAATCAAGTTCCTATATCCCTTAGTCTTCTTTCACAGTTCTAATCTATTTTGGGTCTATCTTTTATCTAGTCATAGGTAATATATACTGTTCAAATATGAGAGGAAATGCTCAATACATTTATTATTTATTAGAAAGAGATATTTAACTATATAAATTATAAAATTGAAAGAGATCCAATCTAAGCCAAAGCCAATCTGTCTCTTAGACCATTGTATGGGGAAAACCATTTCAAGTTATTTATATTTTATATTTCTCTACTCAGCAGGTTTTGAGGGCTAAATGTGTTGGTGATTTACATGCAATAAACCTGGGCTCTTTTCCAGGATCTCCCAAAGGCCATTTTAGTGACCTTCGGCAAGTTCATGGCAAATAAATAATGGGATTGAACCTAATTTCCTTTACAAAGGAAAGCACTGTGGCTGTAAGTATAAATGTTTATATACTCATCTGAGATACTGCAGTAAAAGTGTCCTGTCAACCACAAACCAGCATTATTTATTGGAATGGCTAAAACTGAATGATGAAAATGCTAACACTATCTACTCAATCTGCATACTTGTTAGTGTGTCATAAACACAACACTTCCCATCAAATGCACTCTTCCTGATATGAATCAAGTGTTTTTATTACAGTGCTCTGCACTATTCATCAGTCTGAGTCTCTGGCCTGAACTGCCAAATACAAAATGCTTGCTGATTTTCAGGGATGTCACCACATAGTCATGTGCTTTTGGTTAGAGTAATGGGCTATCAGCAAAACATATACAAAAAATAATTACAAACATTTAAAACTGAGTTTTGGGTATTTGTACCAGCAAGACAATTCAAGTACTTGCTTCTGCAATTAGTGGGCATGCCCTAGTTCTATACATGGAATTTGGACTTTCATGCATTGTTAAAAATGAACCAAAATATTTATAGAGAATCCCTGTGTGACACTGTTAGTTTCACTATCAGACATGGGATGGTCTGTTGCACTTGAAGATTTTATCCTTCCCTATACATAGCATGACACCTGTGTTTTCTCTATTTCTCTGTTTAAAATGCTGGACATTTTGGGTAGGCAATCCATGCCAATACAGGAAGCTGTTATTGCTTAACAGTTTATAGATCAACAAGAAATTGCATTCTAAATCTTGGATGCTTAGATCTGTAAATCCTATTGAAGACAATAATCAATCCAGATGACAAATAAAGCTCAAGATGGGCAGTTTGCAAGTTTTAGAAAAGAGACCAAGTCTCCTTGACACTGGAAAAAAACCCCATTCTCTTGAAGAAGTCTCTCAGAAAACTCAGTGTTTCATTGGCTTACTTACTGTCATTTTTGGTTAATTAATCCCTGTGTCAGTCCCATACTCTCTTAAGGGGTTATGTCCAGTGCTGTACACCAAGTGTTAAACAATCAGTGATCTTCACCTTGTGAAAAATCTCAAAAAGTGTGTTATGCGTGGGACGTGCAAAAAGTCAAAGTTTGAAATACAGAAGCAGCTGTAAACATCACACTTTCCTAGGTGTTTTGTGATGATAGGAAACCTGATGTACTGTGAGATTGTTGTATAGAAGGTTACAGTATTGTGGAAGGTCTATTTATGTTTACTGCAAACACATTTAATTTGGTACACAGAAAAAAATTGGAGATGTTGAAAAAATGTGAGAATTGTTGTGCATTTTGTGTTCTAATTGAACAAAAATGGTACCAGTGAGAACACTGCATTATTTTTGATGGAATTTCTCTTTTCTTGTATGAAATTAAGGTTCTTGTGAAGACAAAGACATTAGATTCTCCTTTGGAACTAACCTTATGTAAAATGAGAAGGGTAATCTTTTGCTCTTGGTAGAAAGCAAGGCCTCAATAAGACATAAATAATTTTAGAATTTCCCAGTGACTGTGAACAAATTACTGATGTTCCCTGAGGCTGTTTTACTTGACTAGTAGGAAAATACTAAGTTTTCTATCTCTACTATTGCAAAGTTCATCTCTTGAAAATGCTTTTTGTTATTATTATTGCAGTAAAAAGGGATTGTACCCTCTGTTAGAGGTTGTACAGCAGCAAAGAGGGAAGTAAGCAAATTAATGTCTAGAAAAATATGGATAAAATTTCATTTAGATGCTTTAAATCCCATGTTTTCATATTTCCTTGTATTTCTTCCCCAACTTGAGCCCCAGGCATGTACAACAATGCCTTGGTGAAGCATTTTATTTAATACTTCAGGGACACAGAGAAGAGACTTTGTACCCCACAAGCTGTTTATCTCTAAAGCTGACCTATAACCACACTATTGGCACCAATAGTGCTGCTACCAAAAGGAATTCTAAATGTTGTAAATGCCAAAGAAGCTATGGGGCTTTTTTTAAGAGCCAGCTCTGGAGAAAAGACCATCTAAATATTTCAGTTCATTTTAATCTTTTTTGTTTAACAGCTCCACCTTGAGAATTTCACATTATTGATGGTCAGCTTTTAAAATTTGGGATATAATTTCCCTCTAAGTCATGTATGCTGAAATGTCCTTTATTTCCTACTGAGAAGTCTGGGTGATACTGGTAGAGAACCATAGGTGAACACAATCAAAAATCTATATTTATATTTTTTACTCTTTAGTTGTTTTTAGGTGGTCTCTCTATGTATGGATTTATGATTCATTCTTGTTTGAAAAACACCCAGAGTTTCAAACTGGATTGGACTTGGTCGATCTCTGTTTTTTGGGTTTTTTTGGTTGTTTTGTTTTGTTTTTTTTTTTTTTTTTTTTTGACAATACAGTTTAAAGGAATAAGCCTGGAAATGCTGACATAAATTTTGTTTCAATTTGGTACTACACAAGAAACAATTCTCTGGAAGAGGATTTCCAATCTGAGAAATGGGCATTGTAACATCTGTTTTGTACAGCAGCCTATGTGGGTTAACTAATGAACTCTGAAAAAATTATTACTGAGTTTTTGAATAGAAATTATTTCTGCACAATAACTGCAGAAATGTTAGAGTAACTGCAGTTTTAAATCCCAGACTGAGGATTGACAAAAAAACCCCCAAAAACAGAGAAGACCAGCTTAGCATTTCAAACATCCTCTGAAATGTGAGGGCACAGAATGACCTGGAGGATGCCTGATTTTTGGAAGAAAACTGGTGATTAATTTGTAGAGCATCAAAGACCCTCTTGGTATGTATTAAAACTGATCTTCTCTTATAAGTTTGGGAAAAAGTCAAAATAACTCAGTTCCTCTAAAATTACAAAGGAATAAATCAAGGACATCCATAGCAGAACTTTAGTTGTTTTTATTCTTACAGTGGTGCAAACAGAAACTGTTAAGCCATTTGCAGTCTGTGCTCATGTGTGTCATTTCCCAGGAGAACAGACATCTGAAGGGTTTGATTTTAAAACACCATTTAGATGAGAATTATCTGTTGGTTTAAGGTTGTAGCTTTTGGTTTTAGTTTTCTTCTTAGGGAAAACAGAATGTAAGTGGCCAATGAAAAGGCTCTGTTCTTCCTTGCAGAGAAGAGCTGCTCTGCCTATGCTGTGGGGTCAATAGCTTGACTGTGTTTGTTTTATTATATATATTTTTATTTAATCACTGGGGTTTTTTTAATCTTTTATTGGTTCTTTTCCAGACAGTACTTTGGAGCTGCTTATTAGCTCTATCCCTGTAATCCTAGATTTTTGCTGTTAAACTGTTAAAAGGAAATTTAACTTTAAGACTTGTGGGAATGCATGTTGGCTACAACTGTGTTATCTGTACAGCTGGCTATATGATCCTGTACCCTAGTGGAGAATTGCAAGTTGAGAAAGGTGGATTAGGAGAGCTGCTGGACAGCAAGTGCTGTTCACAGCATGCAGAGTGAGCATTTTATTTCAAATGCAGTTCTGATGGCAACTGGGTGCATCTGATGTCAGGACAACACACCAGAAAATCAGCATACAGCAGACACTGGGTATCTCCCTGGTGGATGGGATGGGGTAATCTGCAGAATTTCTTAATTTACTGTTAATTTTTCTATTGCTGAATTGAGAGTCTGCCATAAATATTCTCTATTCAGTTTTTATTTTAGTTCAGATTGCAAGTAAAAATAATCCCATTACCTTTTAATTTAATGAAGAAGGAACTAACTGTTAAAAATTATAGTGGCACACTGAATAGATAAATTCCACTGGGAAAGAGGAAAAATTATTCCCTCAGGGCCTTTGTCATGGGAAGCCTTTAAAAGGAAAATGCATGTAAGAAAAAAGTAGATTGGAGTGATTTTGAAGGTGGCTTTGCCAAGTGCTAACGAAAGACTATGGCTGGAATATTTTCAAAGGATGTGGAGATGCGAACTCGTGCTTTTTTGGTGTTAGTCTTCATACTGTGGTGCTGATTAACCAGGGTCACCTGAGTAGGACAACCAGGAGCAGCTCTCACCCCATAAAGGGTCCATCCTCACCAGGACTTTGTAACTCTGCATAAATTTGAGTCCTCTTTGACTCAGTGCTAAATGTAAATGTGCTGGCACCAAACCCAACACCACAACTCAGTGGGGCAGGAAGCGTTGCTGCGTTGAGAGCTTTGAAGTGAACAAGTAAGAGCCAGAGCTACCACTCAACATACAGAATTCAGACAGAGTTGGCTGTTTTAAAACATTGAGCTGATCTTTGAACATTTTCAGCACAAAGAGTTAGTTAAGTAAGTTGGTTAAGCAATACATATTTTTTTTTATTGAGGCTTTTTTGATTCTCCCAATTAAAAGGTGACTCTTGAAACTTAGACACTTAGAATGGGCTAAGATCTCCTGCTAAGGAGGTTTAAGTTGTGCTGCTGTGCAGTAATGCCTGTGATTATAGAAACTGCTGAGAAAACTGGGTATTACCAGCAGGATAGGGGCTGGCACAGGACAAATCTATCTTCACTGACTTCTTTTTTAGCATGGATACACTGCCATGTGTGTTAGCTGCTTTAAAACTGCCTCAGGTGTGTCAGTGGTATTGCAGTTTCTGCAAAGTTTTGGTCTAGCCTGGAAGTGAATAAAAAAGGGATCCTGTATGGTAGAAAAGTGCTGGTTCCAAAGCTGCAAATGTTCTCCTTCCCTCCTCACGTTACCTCTGATATTACTGGTTTAATATGGAAAAATGCTTTTATTGTAAAGCACCCTAGGGCACTCTTAAGCTAAGGTCTTTCCTGTGGGATATTAGATACTGCATTAGATATTGGAGAATATTCTTGATGGAAGAGTACTGTTTTGATACTTTATTCCCCATGATTCTCTTATTGCACCAAATCTGACCATAAACGTTCTGGGAGAAATGTACTGTAAATATTTGTATTTATTAATGCAAATCAAAATTACACAGCTAAATCCCCATGTACTGGACTAAATATTTACACTTCTGTGTAGATTTTAAGTGTATTCAAGGACAGAACAACCATTCTCCAGGTTCATAAACAGTAAAAGATGTCATTCAAGAATTATGGACATTTTCATGTTATTGAGTAAGAGAATTTGAAATTAATATAAAATATAAGAGCCAGTTCTAAAATGTAAATATTGTGTGTCTTGAAATATTTTAGTGAACGTAATATAATGCTGTTAATTTCTTGGCTATCAATTAGTTTAGCAAACCTCTAGGAAGCCCCTTAGTACCATGTGTTAAAAACCATTCAGCTTCCTGGAACAGCCCCTGCCTAAAGAGTTAGCAGTCTAGTGAGCCCAAATAGACAACAATGTAGGCTATAAAATGGACTTACATGAAGTAAAGTTTTTGGCAAAGGTAGAGCTGCTTATGTTAACTAGAAGTGTGCTTATTCTTCCTTGGTCCCCATCATAATACACAGCCCCAGCCAGCCACACTTCACCTGAGGCTGCTCAGAGCTTCCAGTTTAGACCATAGGAAATTGCTTGGGAGAAGAGTCACGGTGACAGGGTTACATGGCTCCTAGCTTTACTCTGACTCTAATTCTGGCTACCAAAATGGTGCAGGAAGGTCCACACCTTTCATCATGTCCATGTATCTGTCCTTCATGAAAAGGTGTGAGGAGAAGTGTCTGCACCAGCCCAGGGGCTGCAGCCTGAACCATAAGCACATTGGCAGGGCCACCTTAGGCTCACTGAGGCCCCACAGAGCACAGAGGGACCTGATCATCTGCCAGGAGCTGGGACACCAGCTACCCCAACCCAGCAGGTCACCCTGCACTCCAAAGGAGGGCTTCCAATATAGATATAGCCTGTACAGGAATTTCTTTCCCTTCGGTGCTATTTTGAATGTGACAGTGGGAAAACCTCATCAAACTTTCCCCAGAGTGAGACTTTAATTCCCTCTGTCATGGTCTATCCTGCCTGCTCTTGATGGGCCAAATCAGTGCTATTGTGTTTAAAGATAAATGGCAGAGCTTTGCATACACCTGTGCTAGCAAATGTGTCTGCTGAAGCTTTAGAAAAAGTGACATAAGGACAAGTAATGACAAGACTGGAGTAGATGAAATGTGGAATACCTTGCTGAGCTACAGCTCACTAAGGCCAAAATCCTGCCTGTGATTTACTAAGCCAGGAAAATAACTTATAGTTTAGACTTGTTTTTCTCTTCTATTTGAGACCCAGGAAGGCTAATACTTTTATAATAACTGTTTATAGAATGTCTGACTTCATGATCCTGACCTAAGCACTGAACAGGAGACCACTACAGGAAATTTATGCCTCAAACCAGCATAGTATCTCCAACTATTATTGAATTGTAGCACTACAATATAGCTCATAATAAAGCTTGTAACAGTGGTGAGTTCTTTGCAGCTTTTTTTCTTTAAAATCTCCTGATACACTTTTAAATCAATTTCTAACAGGGAAACATTTTTTTTCCCAGGGCAGTAAATAAAACAGTAATGGAGAGAAAACTCTTCTCCTGCCCCACTGTGCCTGAGCAATCCAAGAATTTCAATAGATCAGGACTCCCTCTTCCCCTTTGAGGGAAAGGATTGCTGGGGATATAGTCAGTGTCCTTGTCCACCACACAAATCCTTCTCTGGGCTAGATGACCCAGACTTGGAGTGCACACAAATATTTATAACTCTCAGAAGTGCCTTTACAACCCATCCTGCCATGGATAGTAGAGCTCTATTTTGTGCCATTGGATGAAGTTTTTGTCAGTTAAAACATACACAAAAAATATTATATAATTAACAAATATTTAATTTTATAGTTACATGGGATTTTTTGCTTTAATAGCAAACTGCTAGCTGGCTTACATCAAACCAGTAATGAGAAAACCTGGGAATAGAAAGAAATTCAGATTTATCTTAAATTTCTGTGTTTTGGTACTATCTTTTAAATAAGCAATAGTTTAATATCTGTATCTCTGTATCTGAAGCAACGCATAAAAAGAAAAAAATAACAAAAACCTCATATGTCACCTGTACATCTGCAATACCATTGAGCTAGTTTGTTAATAATGAGAGTAGCTTGAAAGATTTGGAGAGGTAAATTGCGTTTCTAGGTAAGTGAAAAGTGATGGGTTCTATTTTTATGACCTGACTTGCTCTGAATCAAGGAAAACCTCTGATCTGTTTTAACAAGATAGACTACAGATTTAATCTAAATAAGCTACATTTCTTATTTGTATGAAGTTTTCTCTCTGTAAGAAATTTAAAGGCCATATTTCTCCTTTATTATGTAGCAGTAGTTGCTTACCAGGATCGTAATTTTTTCTAATGCTAAAGAAAAAAATGAAGAAATTGAAGCCAGGCATGTTTATTAAAGGGAAGAGGTTGCTCAGTGCAGATTAAACTTTTAGAGGATTTTGATGTTGCCTTTTAAGAGCATGCACAGACAATAATTCTGAACCTTACAGTTCAGTTAGGACTGATAGGTAGAGAGCATATTTGACCTCCAGTGCAGTATCCTAAAAATTAAGTTGCTGCCAAACTTTGCAAAATCCCATTGCAAATCATGAAGCTGTTAAGCTTTCTTATTATCGATTTTTTTTTCACGTTTGAAAAATGCCCCTGTCTCAAAAATGAATGAATTACTTTCCTAAAACTATTTTTTGAATTACATTCAGAGGGAGAATTTAATCTCAAATATTTAAAGTGTAGCATAATGAGAGCAACTGCAAGATAGTTACACTGAGAAGTGCTTTCTTATATTAACTGTATTTCTGTGGGCTCTATCTATATAGAAAATGACATAAATAAAAAAGTAAATACCATTCTCTTTTTTCTTTTTTGTTACTTTTAAAATGCTCCTTCAAATAGGATTAATTTAAGTTGTTTCCATAAGAAAACTGGGCTATCTTA